AAAAAATATAATATCGTAGTTGATGGAGGCTACACAGAATGGAGTCAATGGTCACTATGTGAAAACCCGTGTGGAGGCTCCGTAGTCAACAGAGGAAGAACATGTGCTAACCCTACCCCTACTGCGGATGGGAGGACATGCTCTGGAGACGCATTCCAAACCAAACTTGAGTGTATATCTCCATGTCCAAGTATGTTATGTTCCTGCTTTAAACCATTTTTCACTGTGGACAAGAAAACTTCCGAAACGTTTGAAACAGCATGTGATTAAATAAATGACTGAAAGAAATACGGAAAAGCGGAAACCCTCCCTAGGGTTTTTGATATGTTGCAGTATTTCGAAACGATTTTGCCTTCGGTGGAAAGCCTTGATCTTCTCAACAAGATTAGGTATATTTTGTGGGAGGTGGCATGAGGCCTGTGGCGTCACCAAACATGGTCGCCATCTTGGTCGCCATCTTGTATTTTACCAAGAATTAGAATTTAGGTAAAAACCGCGAGAGTTGGTAAATTTTTGTGCTTGACATGTAAAATAACACGTAAATAAGTACTTTGAACCATTTTATCCACAAGCTTTACTTTTACTGTGGAAAAAGCTGTAAAAACGTGAATTTTCACTCAAAACTGGCTTCACTGCCTGCTACTTATGACGTCATATCTTGTAACGACAGAAACTGATCATCACTAAACTTGTCTCAAAATGCGCGCAAGGGATAAACAAACAGCTTCTGAAAATGTCAGGTGTCGGTTTATCGTCTAGGAGACAACTCAGGAAAATCTCGGAGGGGGGAGGATGGCGGTCACCCACTCCCCTTGTACGTCCGAGAGTTAATGTAACTGTTTCAAATACCAAGTGACATCTTAAGTTCAAGTAATTAGAGGCATACACTTTTTTTCTTCAAGTTGTATTTGCTGTCAACATGAATATCACCCTGCCAGTTTTGAGTGAAATACCTATAATTTAAGCTAGCAAGAGGAGCCTAAAGTATTCCACCTTAAATCTTGAATTAGCTGGTCCTCTTGACGGTGAGTGGGGAGACTGGAGTCCATGGACGCAGTGCTCACAAACCTGTGGAATACCAGGAGGAAGCATTCTAAGAAGAACACGATTGTGCAATCAGCCTCCTCCTATGAATGGCGGGAAGCCCTGTGAGGGTAACGATACTGAAACAGCGAGATCATGTTTTGCGCCTTGTCCAGGTGTGTCTTTTGTAAAAAAACAGACAAACATTTCCTCCCCTTCTGGGACTATGAGGATGTCTTTTATTTATTCATTTATTTATTCTTTTTTTTTTTTCACAAAACCTGCAGTGAAATTAATTTTATCGAAGTACAGAAAAACGCGCTCAAATTGAAATATTGTTTCTTTTCCAGTTTTGGGGCTACTTTTGTATAGGTTTTAAATGAACTCCAGAAAAAGACATAACATTTTTGTTACGGACTGACAATTACAAATACACAACATCAACCTCTACTTTTATATTTTATTTATACAAAATTTGTGCCAAGTAGGTGGTTTCCACCCATTAACACGGCTAAAAAGTCTCAATAAGGCGGGTCGGGAAGGGAAAGGTTACTTACAAGAAGATAAAGAGCAAAATATATCACTTGTATTAACTGCAGCTGACCATTTGACAAAATAATGCCAGTTAGCACGAAGAAATAGAAAATAGGAAATGTGCTGTCCGAGATTTTATGATAAAAGAACTTAGTTCACTGCTTACTAGACATCAGTTATGTAGCAACGGAAACTTTATTCCAATTGTGCTTCCTTTGTAGTTAATGGTGGTTTCAGTTTATGGTCAGTGTGGACAACATGTAGTAAGACGTGTGGAACTGGAACCCAATCAAGAAGCAGAACATGTACCAGCCCATCCCCTGTTAATAATGGACTCAACTGCACAGGGGACTACACACAGGCAAAGAGCTGTAAACTCTCGGCCTGTCCCGGTAAGAAAAAATATAAATTAAAGCAAATTAGTTAGCAGTTGTGACTTGAATTTTTTTTGGCCACAAATTTCAGAATATCGTTTCGTTTCAGAAGCCGAAAATTTGAACCAGAGATTTCTCGGTAAACGCTCTTAAAAAAAACCTTAAAATAGGAATCTATACAAACACTTATTCTCAGCCGTCGGTTAACCACCACTAAAGCTATAAAATGCTATAATCCATCGATGGATAAAAAGGAAATAAAACGAGTAAAAAGATTTTATATAGCTTAACTTAAATCGGACCTTTAGAGAGAATAAACTTTTCTTTTACAATAAATTCATTGCCAATATATGCCACTTGCGCTGTGTAACTTAGCACGCATCTGACACTGGTACCTTAGCACAGGTGTGGTTTTTTTTTTTTTTTTTTTTTTTGTTTTTTTTTTTTTTTTTTTTTTTGCGAGGTTAGTTTCTGTTTCTGGCCTAAAGCGAGCAACCTCACATGGATAAAAACATATGCATATAACTCAGTTCAAATTAACCAGCCTCAGTTGCCGACATTTTTAAAATTAAAATGTGCACTATAATTAAAGATGAGCCTCCTAAAGTCAAGGTAACTAAGCCTTGAAGTTACACAACAACGTCAAGTTTATAATATTAGAGAGATTAATATTTACGTTTACGCCAAACGGCAGACGTGAATTTGTACCACGTGACCGACTTTAACCCTTATTTTCCGTTTACTGTTCATTGCTTCTACATAAAAATAAGTTATAGTTTCAGGGGCGTAGCTAGGGGGGTCCTGGGGTGCCCGTGACCCCCCCTTGGTAGGCCTTCTTTTGAGCAAACAACCTACAATATTCAGGTGGCGAAAACGCCATGACAATATCTTGGCCGTAAAAGCCATTGTTGAAAAGCCCACTTTTTTAAAATTTGTTTTTTTGTAAAGTATTTTCGTCAACGGCTCTTGTCTTTAGTTAATACGGGCCTTCATGCCGCGATAATACGACTTAGCCCGCTGATACACGAGGGAGAACAGAGATATAAACCACATATAGTCGGTGATCCCCGGATGGTGTCCCTGTCTATGACCCCCTCTTTGAAAAATCCTGGCTACGCCCCTGAGTTTTATGCCAGTTTTAATCACAGGAATCGTTCAAATCTGTCTTTATCTGCTTATTTTCTATTCTGAGAAATTCTCAACTTGAGTCTGACGTTTGCAGTTTATGGTAAACGTGAATCTTAATCTCTCTATAGATCATTTTCACTGTCACGCAACAAAAAAGTAAATTGGAAACCGTCCAGTGGAAGAAGCCAAGAAAGTGAATTGTTATAAAATACTAATATATAAACAATTTGTCAAAGTCTCAGGTCTTTGTGGCCCACAGTTTCTTAGTTATTTGCCGAAATGTTTCACGCTTCTTTGTAGAGCTTTGTATGGAGACGCCATATTGGTGCACCGTTTTGGTGCACCAATATGGCCGAAGGAAATCAACAAAAATATCTGGAGTTCACTTTTTCTATAAAAGCTGTTTCTTTTCCCTCGAGAACTAGCATACGTGCGCATAAACATATCTTCTAATACTTGAAGTGGTTATACTGCTGAAAATCAAGAGGAGAGACTTTTTCAACGAGGCAGCATTCCTATTTTGGTGTCACGCTTTGTGAAAACTCAGAAGTTCAAATTGCTGTATTTTCGAAATGGAACAGGCTACGGAAATGGAAACTTGTACAAAGAGTTACTTTTTGTTTATCTTGAATCTAGTGTTAATACGAATTCGTAAAACCTCGCTATTTTGACTTTACAATTTGATGACGTCACAGTGAAAACCATTCATCGAGCATGGAAAATTTGTCAGTATTACACTCTTTTGGGCTTTGCGATGTTACAAGTATATTTTTGAGTCAAATACTGTTCCTTTCAGCCACATTTCTACACATTTAGCATAAGCTGTTCTTTCATTGAGGTTTAATATATCCCCGTTATGCTGGGTTACACAGATTACATATGTATTCGGCGAGTCCAACAAACTAGGCAGAAGTATTACTGTTTATTGCGAGGTTCAAATTGCAAAACCTTTTTACGATCTAAAAGATCTCTTAAAATGAATCCTTTAAAATGAATAAACACCTTCAGCAAAACATATTTAAAAACCTAAATTAAACAGTCTCAGTTGGAGATGTTCAGTTATTAATTAAGAGGAGCTGCTTAAACAAGGAACTTTCATTTACCCTTCATTCTCCTTATTTCCTTTGCGACTTAGGAAAGCCCAGGTATTTTTCAATTGTAAACTTCTCCTTGTTTTCTTTTTCTCTAACATCTTACCTTGTTTGCTACTAAATCTAAAGCATAGAAATGAACTGACACGAAATATATGTTGTAGTTAATGATATCTCAGGTAATTTTTGTTTTTCTTTTGTTTTTGGGTATGGTAAAATAATGTATGCTAATGAAGTTGAAACAAAAGAAAAACAAATTACCTGTGGTGCAGTGAATTTTTTTCCATCTTCGGGTGCAGTAATGTATGCCAATGAGTTTGAAACAAAGAAAACAACAAACATTGAAATAAAATGAAATAAAAAATAACTGCAAAAGATACGTTAACTTTTACCGGCATTGTGTTGTTTTTCACGCAAAAAGCCGAATTATTAAGGCTCTCATAGACGTTTTGTCGCAGGTCAAATGTTGACTTCCTTTTTTCAGTTGTCAAATTGCATAGTTGATGAGACTATTCCCGATAATTGAATGGGAGACACCTGTTTAACTTGTTTTGAACACGTAGCTTTTTATTGAATACAACGACCTGATCTGGATCCGTTTGGTTTAGTTATAGCTGACAACATGATCTAGTCAATCATGATTCTACGAAGTCATCGGTGAACAACGTCACGACATACAAAATCAGCTCAGTTAGAAATGTTAACGTGATGTCTGCCGTGTCGAGGCTTCGCAGGCGGCATGAATTCATTACAAAAGATCCCAATAAAAGAAGGCTTTGAATTGATCAATTTTTATTCGAAACTTCAGTGCGTGCCGTGCGTGCAGAGCGTTATACAGACTTCAGCAACCATGAACTTAACAACAGGCAATGGATCGACCGAGTCTTCCAGGTGCACCATGATCAGTGATACACCGTCAAGAATAGGAAAAACCATCTATTTAGGTCTGATCCTAGCTGTTTCGTTGGTCGGAAATTCTCTCATTGTAACGATCGTGTATAAAACGCCAACCTTGAGAAAACCGATAAACTACTTTATCGCAAACATGGCCATATCAGATTTGCTGTATCCAATATTCTGGCTGCCTTGGCACATGTCAGAGCTACACACTAATTATTCGTGGCTTATAGGCGGCAAGTTTGGCCAGGCCTTGTGTAAGCTTCTTCCTTTTCTTGGGGACGTTTCAACTGTCGTTTCAATTCAGAATCTGATTCTGATAGCGGTGGATCGATTTGGAGCTGTGGTATTTCCACTGCGTTCACCACTCATCAGATCCAAGCTTTGTACCTTCTTCATTCTCGCCACGTGGATAGTCGCAGTAGTTGTCAATTTGCCATATTCGTTCGCCTTTAAAGTCGTTGAAGACTCAGGGGAAATGTGGTGTTGTTTAGAATGGGAAATAGCATTCGGAGAGTCCTTGCCCTTTGCCAAATTTATAGTAGCTTACTACAGTCTGTTTATATACTTACCTGTTATGTTGTTAGTCACTCTTTACTCCATCATCCTTATCAAGCTCAAGACACAGACACACCCGGGTGAACAGTCGGCCAACAATCAACAACAGTGGAACAGAAGAAACAGAAACGTCCTCCAAATGTCCATTGCTATCATTTTAGTCTTTGTGTTTTGCGTGTTACCTCCAACTGTTATCATTTTAATTAGAGAGTATTACTGGTCCAGTTCCTGGAATATACCTCGTAGTTTTGACAAATACTCTCATGTCACCTTTTATATAAATTCTGCCTACTGTGCTGCCAACCCCATTGTCTGCTTCATATTTAGTAGTAATTACCGACAAGGTCTTAAAAGATTCATAAACTGTTGTACTTTTGCCCAGGCGTAAAGTTGTTAATGTTAGTGCATGGTATTTGCGTGACTGTAAAACGTGAAAGCGGTCTAGAGTTTTCATTACAGATAAAACTTGAAATGACTAAATAAATACTTGCCTTGGTGTTGTTTTCTGTCGTTCTACGAAGTTTCTGCTCGATTTGAGCGGTATCGCCATCCGACCTAACGGTGTCGTGATCGTTTTCGTTCGCGTAGCCTTGAAGTATTCTAAAATTCTCCTCCCTTTCCTCTAAAACCAACGTTTGGTTCAAAGGTATCTCACCATGCACCCGACTTCCTTACAGTTTACTGCTCTTAGTAACAGAGCCTCCGAGCGGATGTTGCTCGTGGATATATACCCGGGCTCCAGAGCTCAGTTCTCAAAATACCGGATAAATTGAGAAATAAAACGTATTCACGGTTTGATAAACCTTCCGCGTGCCTCGCTGTTACGGCTTTGTCGCGAACCATCAGAAATTAGGTAGACAAAAAAACAGAGCATCTCTAGGGTAGGACCGCTGTTGAATCGTTTATCAAGCATGGACAGTTTAGTGAGTAGTACATGAAACACGTCTTCAAACCAGGTATGGTGGCAGTGCAACATTCTTAATCCGGGCGAGAGCGGATTGTTACTTATTAAATCGTTTTCAAAAATGCCAATTTGTGTTGACGAGTGATGGATGCTAACGTTTTTTACAATTTTTTGCTCTGGGGGGCGTTTTCAAACGTTGCGTTTTCGGTGACCGTTTCCAGTCATCGGATACGAGTAAGCCTCGGGAAATTTCAGACAAATATTTATCTACAAAATGAAACCGAACCGACACTAATTTTGTAGTGGTAAGAGAAACGATCATTTTTTATATTTCCCCCTAAATATTACCGATCACTTCCTCTGCAAGCTGGTTTATTCTTTCAAAAAAGTGTGCCTCATGACACATCAGTCTGAGGACTGACTCTTCTTCGAACCTAGCTTATACTTGCATAGCACCTCAGTTTCAAGGAAATAATCCTTTCAACAGTAAGAGACCAAGAAACTGTCAAATGTTGGAAAAAAAGGAATCCATTCCTATCCAAAATACGCATGATTTGCTCGTTGGCACTCTATCGATAGGTATACCTAGTATTTATTTTGAAATGCCAAATTGCGTAGTCGATGGACGTATATTCGAAGACTTAATTTGACACACCTGCTGGAAATTAGTTGTTTTAAACACATATAAGTTCAGTTAATTCAGACAAACATAACAGCGTGAATTTTATAGTTAATATACTAATTCCACCAAGCCCAGATGTCCTGTCTCCAATCCGTTTCAGTCGACATTGCGTTTGGAGAGCACAACTCGGTCGAAAAGATCGGATATTCTTCAGATCGTCAAAAACTTTTTTTCTTTTAAGATGGCTCGACCCCGTTTCTCAGTATCCATACCTTGCCTACTCTCTTCGAACACGAACTACAAAGATACAAAGCAAAGGCTTATAGGACTCATAGACCATATAACCGCCATGAGTTACACTGATGATGCATAATTTTTGTCAAAGTGTTTTCAAGAAAACTCTGGTTGAAATTTCTGGCTGCTAGAAAGTCAGGAAGCGGATGCGAAAAAGTTCCCAGATCTATTGAAAGTAATTATTCTTCTCGTTTTGTTTCAGGTGCAATTGACGGAGGCTTCAGCAAATGGTCAGCTTGGAGCGCATGCTCAGAACCTAAATATTGTTTGCAAGGTGTTTCGAAACGAACGAGAACTTGCACCAATCCTTCTCCTGCGAATGGTGGAGATGGGTGCGCTGGGTTGGTAGTAGAGAACAAGGATTGCCCCACTCCAGAAGATAGCTGCACAGGTAACACAGCAATGGCTGGAAGTGGTGGCCTTTACGTTCAGTTTAAACCTCTTTACTGAACAATCGTATTAAATATAGTGTAGCATAAAACTTATTGTAAATATGGTAATGTTAATCATTTCAGCTGCCCTTGCTTTGCGTTCTACGTTACACAGAACCGTAACAATCTGTTACTAACCATTCCTTAATTTAAAGTACAGTTGGTAACGCTCTACTTACGGCCGTCTTTACAACACCCCGTTAGGGTTGTAAGTAGAATGTTTATATGTTTCTGTACTCCCATAAGTGGGCATCGCATACTTAAGAAAAATCTTTTTATGATTGTTCTCTGATAACTAAGGTAAGAATAAGGTTTGTTGGTTATTATCTATATGCCGGATAAGACAACTTAATAAAAAATAAATTAGTACTAAAATGCGGTGATGCTTTTCAGTACTCAGTGTAAGATGTGCAATATCTCGTGCGGCAGGCACCGTTACTAGAGCATTTCCTTGAGCAGTCCGCTCCAGTGACGAACACTTGTTTGCTTCCCGAAGGCAATTCTTTTGTCGTTGTAATTTGTTGTTGCTGTTGTTGTCCGGTTTTGTGTTCTCAAAATTGTGTTGAAATGTCGAGACCTTATAATTATTTGACAACACGCGACAAAGAATGAAAGGCTGATGCCTAGCCAGCTCCTAACCGCCATACCCACCCCTCTTGGCACTAAGAATACCACGTGATTTGACTCCTTTGTAGTTAACGGCATGCCTTTCAATTAAAAGTTACCAGTGCAAAAAAAACTAGGCCTCAATGTCTCAAGTGATATGAAATGGAACTTTAACGTTGACTCATTATCAAGAAAGCTAATAAGCGTTTGTTTTATCTCAGCTTATAAACGCCATGGCCTAGGTACACGTGCGCTAGTTCAGTTTTTCTGCACTTTCGTTCGCCATATGACGGAGTGTGCGCGTCCTGTCTTTCACGACAGTCTTCCTGCGTATCTCTCCAATGAACTTAAGGGAGTTCAAAGCGGAGGTCTTTGGTTGAATCAGGCCTGATTAAACTTTCAGACCGCCGCCAGGAACTTGTAGACAAACTATTTAAGGAAGTAGAGAACAAAGAGAATAAGCTCCACTGCATTCTCCCTGCTCTTAATAACTGTAGGTCTAACCTTAGAAACACAAGGAAATTTAGGCCCGTTTTCAAGACGAACAGATTTCATCGTAGCTTATTGCCTTCACTGCCCTCAAGGCTTAAACTATGTTTCTATAGCTTTACAGTTTTCGACTGCTTTTCATTATATTACTATATTTTTATTTTTTAACAAATCAAAATTTTATTGTAGTACATTCATAAAGTGTTTTCTACTTTTCATTTCTTACATTTTTCTTTATCAATAAGCTTCAAATTAGTAGTAGTATTTTTAAGTAGTTATATTCAGTTGTAAATAATCGCCTAATTCAACCTTTCAGGGTTGCCTGAATACCGACTCCTTTTAATACCGGTGACTATCTAACTATCAAAATAACTATCCAGTTTGCAACTAGATATCGACATAGCAATTCAGTCTCCTTCCCCCCGCCCCCCTCCTAAAAAAAAAGAAAGAAAGAAAAAGCCTAAAGTTAACTGACTCTTTATTATTTAAGTCTATCAGCCGAGCAAACCAGATAAAACAGCAGCTGATCCTACATCCTGGATAGCTCTAGAGTGCGGTGCAACCGAGAAGTTCTCAGTCACAGGAGCTTACAAACAGGATGTTCCCTATGCTGTATATTCAAACTTCGGTTTCATTAAGAGAGAGTTGGAAAGTGGATGGTTTGCGATCAAAATGGAACCTGACGATAAAGATGATTATGGACAGAACAAACTTACAAAGGTCAGCTCCTAGTGTTATCGTTATTACTGGTTTTACTGTGACCCTTGTCCACGACATGAAGAATAAGGATTGAGATTGAAACCATTCAAGTCAACTACCTAAAAATAATAATGGTGATAAATCAGGAATGTAACGTTCTCGCCAAGTTCGCAGTTTTTCGGCGTTCGTGCGATGGCTTTCGCTCAGTGATATTCGCAAAGTGGCACAATTTGTACAAAAAGCGACAAAATCTGTTTTGCCCTTTGATGCTGTATAATGCGAGGGTTTTTAGAGTAACTGAAAAAAATTATGATCAACACGTCGCTTGATAGATCCAGAAATCAAATTGCTTTCGGAGAAGACATTAGGGCCATTTATACGAGGAAAAATAAGACGCGTCTTACATAGGACGCGTCTTAAATAAGACGCGAACTTTCCGTATAAACGGCACATTTCGTCTAAAATAAGACGCGGCTTAGCTTAGACGCGTCTTATTTTAGAACAGCCCTTAACACCCGTTCTTAGATAAGACGAATCTTAGCTAAGACGAGAAAAACTTCGTATAAATGACCTTCGCGTCAGACGCGAAGGTCATTTATACGAAGGTTTTCTAACGCATAGTACGCATGCGCTAATTTTTGGCGCGCCACGTTGGATTGCGTTGCCACGGACAACATTCACATGAAAACGAGTCAAGAACTGAAGTGAGACGCAAACCATTTATAAGAGCTGTTCTCGTCTTAGATAAGACATGCTCGTATAAATGGTACAGCTCGCGTCTTATTTTTCCTCGTTATCCACTTTGCCAAGCGGATGTCTGTAAATCAGTACATACATGTAGTGGGGTCGAAAACTGCCATACAATTGCGTTGGACTTAAGGGGAATGCAATCCCTACTCTACAAAATTCTGTGGTTCTTGCGTACCCTGTGGTCTTTATAACAAGCTTGAGGTTTTCATCATTCTTCTTTCTTTTCAGCGCCATCTAATCTGAAATTTAATAGCGACATGGAAGACCATTGGTCGCGTGCTAGAGAGCGAAAAAAGTTATCGTTCCTTGTGCCAAAACAAAATCCTAGCTATGACACTTAAGATATTACTTAACAGTGATACTGTATAGAATTTTGATGGATGGATGATAATCAAACCGGCTGTGAGAAACTAGTAAAACTTGAGTTCTTTACAGTTTGCCGACGTTCTAAAACTCCGTCGCCTCGGCTTTGGAAACAATCGGTTTCACGCAAGGAATGGTAGGGCTTCTTTTCTGATGTTTGTGTGACATACTTCGCGTAATAGGTGTTCGTAAAACTTTGCATTTCATTCTAAAAAATGTGCTGATATTAGGAAAGGTCAGGAAACGGAATCCCCTTTAATCAGCGAAAACGTTTCCGTTCATTTTTCCGTCCACTCAAAATTAAAAGATATCCTCAAAGATAAATTTTCGTGTTGGAAATGTCTTTCCCTGCATATCCGATCAAAAGATCTCTTACCTCGGATAAACTTTATAATGTACGATTACTACTAGTTCTCTTGTTCCTTGTTTAGGTCTGTTTTGAGATAATCGACCCCTTGGCTATTCAGAAGATCGTGGATAACAAAGCAACATATTACGCCAAAATTGACGTTCTCCCCGAATGGACCCGTCCCGAACTGACAGAGAACGTTCCGGCTATTTCCATTTGGATTGATGGGTCCCATGCCCTGAGGAAATACGAGTTCCAGTGCTCGGCGGCTGATAGATACAGTCCCTTAAGCGGATTTGAAATAGTCGATGTCAGGTTAGTAGGTGATTTTCATTATCGCATTCGATCTTAGAAGAATCCTCTTTTATATGGCACATGCAGCGCAAAGGTAGGGGCTGCATCTCGCCCTGAGGCAGGATTCGGGCGGATACGGTTACTAATTGATATGAGATGTTATTCTTTGCTGTACTCAGGAGAAGCTAAGTGTTGAGTGTACTTAGTTGACTGTTTTTCGGATTCCCTGCATGGGTATGGCTTATCCTTCATGTATCTCATCCATGACCTATTGAGTCGATGACTTCTTTACGAGCAAGAAATGCTACGTAATTTGACAATAGCAGTGACTGGCTAACTTAAATTGATTCAAACATTGATTTTGATTATTAAATTCCCATCGAATTTAACGAAACTTACCAAAACCGCGGCAGGATTTGCTCAATCGGTACATCGTTGATTGCACAGCGGGAAATCGCGGGTTCGATTCCCGGGACCGGACCAATACTCAGGGTCTTAAAGTAACTGAGAAATGAGGGTACTCTCTTTGCACTGCCAGAGGCAAGACCTTCGCTTGGCTGTGCTGACCACGTAAAATGGTGGTCTCGTCTCCAGTTGGAGACGTAAAAATAGTGTCCCCAATTAGTCCTTTCGTGCTAAATACATTGAAACTCAAGTTAAGTGCTTTTTTTAACCATTTGGGCTTTAAAGAGAGAAACAGAATATCAATTAATAAAAACACAAAAAGAAAAGAAAATGAACAGAAAAGAATCAGTTGTGGTAAACGATAATACCAAAAGAGTGAATGTCAGCAAGTTTATAGTTCCAGAGATCCTAGCCTAACTATTCGGAAGGGTCGACAGGGTATTTTTTTATACGATCCAGCTCCATGTTTTAATTAGACTCGTATTCAGTCCACCTCTGTAAGAACCCTTATCGTGGGAAACTTCGACTATCCCTGCTTTGGTTCTAGATTTCAAAATCCCCTTTTTTGTCTTCTATGATCTGCCAAGTTAGAATGATTTTTCAAACAAATATTAATTCGTACTGACACCACATACTATCTCAATCAAGGCTGGCAGTTTTTTTCCTTCACATTTTTGTTCTTTTTTTTTTAACTTTGGCTTGCTTGCATTGTTTATTGCAAATTTGCACTCTAATTTTTTTTTTAGGTTTTCGTATTATACAGAGGGAAATGCTCAGACATTCAAGGCAAAAGGTACTTACACATTGACGACTGGAAATGATTTTACTACAGAAGTGTGGAAGGATCCGCAGTCTGAACTGCCATACGCGAAGGGAACCGCTGGCTCTGCAACATTTCAAGATTTGATGGCCTCCTTTGGTTTAAATCCCGAAGATGTCCCAGATTTCTTTGCCAATGCCCTTAAGTAAGTCTACTAACTCTGTTTAAATTAGCAATATAGCTTCATGCTAAACCAGTATAAATAAGTAAATAAATAAATAAACAAACTTCAATTAAATGCTCTATGTAACAATGGAAGCCATTCCTCTGCGTCAAAGGTTTAATTAGGTAAATAAAATAAATAATGAGAGGATCAATTGGACAAACGGCGCCGAAGAAAGGGGGATCTTGGGTTAGATCAGGATCAGCGTTGAAAAATCAAACCACCTAATTTCAGTAAAATAACCGTTTACGTTCGTCGACTGACGCTTGATAATAATTCCATTTCGTAGAAAAGCCGGCCTCTGGGATTTCACCCTGAAGCCTGTGTCTTTTCACAAGTACTTGGTGAAGTGGGGCCTCTACCGTATTACAGGAACATTTGAGATACAAGGTGTACCAGTTAATGTGGAGATTCTGACAGGTGTTAGGTTCTTTCGACCACAATTTGCTATCGGATTTTTCTTCGATAAGGAATCATTCGGCCGGTTGTCTGAGAAACTGTCTGGAATTAGAGTTGATTTTCTGGACGCCATTGGAATGGATTTGCAGGTACTGAATTTTTTAAAAATTGAAGACCTCTACTTTTAATGTCGAAATTCAAATTTTGCTTAACTTTTTACGGTGGTTACGGTTTCATTTTTAATGTTGCTTACTGCTAAAATTATTTTGCTGCCTCGCGTAGATTGGTGTCAGTTTTCTAGCTCCTGAGGTTCTAGGATTTCAGCCAATCTACACGGATGAAGAAACCAAGTTTTCTTTAGAACCACTCCACAGTCTTATTACAAACGCCATTCCCGAAGGTAAGGGTAAATGTCAATGTAAGAAAAAGCATTTAACGGCAACGTTTGTTACTGTTTCGCTCTAAGACGGAAGGCACTTCTATCTAACGGGGATAATTTTTCTCCTAGAAGACTTAGGTTGTAGGAGTAGATATTTAACGTAGATCGTCAATGGAGGATTTAACGGAGCAAAAAACAGATGGGGAACTGCCCGCATATCAGGTCATATTTGGCATCACACTAATGACGAACAGATACTGCATTAAGGACAAAGACATTTCAAGAACAATTATTTTCTGTAATTGATATACGCCCATGGGAATAACTGAAACGTCCAAAGCATTTCTCTTCCACTGAGTATGCATCAATTTGATTTCGTATACAGCTATTTCGAGAAAGGTTGTCGGAAAAAGTTCACGCGACAATCCCGAAAGGCATTGTGGGTGGTTTTAAGTTCACTGTTCTTCAGAGAAATTTGAAAGAATTGGCACGAAAAGCCATGGAAATGTGTTTGCGAGTGTTATAGGAAAGCAAAAAAAGTAGGTTCGACAGCTTCAGTTGCCAGGAACAGTGTTTCGATCATATCCCATATTACCTTTTTGGATTGTTGCGTGCACATTTTTTGCAATAACCTTTCCCAAAATAGCTGTATATTAATGGACCACATCACTTATTCGGTACTTTGCATTTTAATCAAGGTATCTTTGCTGCGGCCAGCCTTGTTCTTCCGAAAGACTGTCATAACAACAAATTCTGTGAAATTGTGAAGGTGATTCTTGGACCAACAGTCAGGTGGTACATATCTGGACAATTCCAATGGAAAAAAATCAGAATCGCGACAGGATTTCGAGATGTTCGTATATGGGATGGAGTATATTTTAATAAGCTTGATCTATACGTTGAGGTACGTCGAGCCTCTTTGCCGAGGCAAAGTCTCTTCACGTCATCGGGCTACAACAGCCGTCAAATTCCGTTGAAGCACTAGACTAAAAATGAGGATTTTTTATCTTTTTTTATCTTTTTACCTTTACAAGCGACTTACCTTACTTTTCTGGTAACCTTATCCAAGGTTGAGATTTGCGTTGTTTAAAAATGGGAAATAAGTGAATCAACATAAGGGAAGGTACAACGTGCAAATGCTTCATTAAATGTGACGAGTATTGTAGTTCGCTAGAGATAGAGCATTTTATCTTATATATAGTCCTAATAAATCATCCATTAAGGTACGCTTTTCATATGTTTTAGTCTTCGGAGGCACAAACTTCCCCCCCGAATTAAGGGGCATAAAGTCGAACATTTCTGTTTGGCTATTTTATAACCATTATCATTAACCTTTTATCTTCTCTATAAAAGAAAACAGAAGCATACGGACTCATACGAAGTGATTCGCTAAGAATTGCACTTTAATCTATTTATTGTGATTTTTGTTAGGCTGATTTTAACGAAACCACTACGCATACCACTATGGGCTTCCGCGCTGAAATAAAAATTCCTATCAAGGGTGAAATTGTTCGAGACGGAATCAAAGCACCAGAAGGAAATGAATTGTACCTCTTTGGGGTTTTGGAGTACGATTTTTTAGAACAACAAGTATCTGGTAAGCTGGGAATGCGTGGAATCTGGAGACAGGCGTTCTGGATCCCGTGGCTATCTATGGGGAACATTTTTGTTGGGTAAGACGTTTTTGCGCTCCTTTAATGAAGGTGTGGTAACACATGATCTCATCTCCATCTTCTAGTCGAAAGCGCGGATTTCTACTTATTATACTACTACATGAGAAATTTCTTCAATTTGATTGGCTAAGAGCAATGGTATTTCAGCTTAATTTAAAAGTTTGAAGTCTAAGGGTTGATTTCCACTATCGCGTAATTTTAACGTGCTTGTATACGCACGTAACTTTTACCCGCGTAAATGAAGTAGAGACAAGCTATGAAGTCCGTTAAACGTCAAGTTGAGCGAGGTTCAACTTTTACTTTAACGCGCAACCTTTCATACATTGCCTCTCTTTTATCTGCGAACGTAAATTTTACGCACGTACGCACGTAAGAATTACGCGACAGTGGAAATCCACCCTAATACGTGATTTGCCTTTGACTGACAGGTTAACATACAAAGTTGGAGTACCTATACCAATTACTGGTGTACAATTTGGAATGAGAGTGGAGTTTGGTCACGAATGCCCAGTACCGGCAGATTTGTCCAATGAGGTGCGTTTTTGACTATTGTTAGTTGTTCTTTCATTTTTTTGTGGTCAACCGGAGAATGCTAAGCTCAGTTGGTGTGGTACAGGAGCGGTATGCTCGGGTTCAATACTCGGCCGGAGCAACAGTAAGGGTATTAAAATAACGGCGGAAAAAGAGCTCGCTTTTGTTTCGCATCTACAAAGGGTTGGACCTTCAAAAAAGTCTTCGCGGAAATAGCGCACGGTCTGACAGAGCGTGGAACGCAAATGAACCACTATGGATGTAACAGTCTCTGGCACACCCTAAGTGTCCTTAATATGCAGCACTTTAATTGGAAACCAGAAGTACTATTTTAACCATACCAATGGTGCTGTATTTAAATTAAATTGAAAGACTATAGCTTACATTCAGATTCGTCATTCAGAAGTTAATCAACATTGAGGTAACCTGGACGATGTACTTTCAGAAGCGGATCGTTCAGAAAAGTATCTGGAACTGTCTTTTCGAGTCTTTAGACTGTGTGTTCCATTTAGACTTGCACCTGAAGCACTTTGCGTTCAGAAACCAAAGAAAAAATAATAATTTAAGAAGACAAGAAATTGCTGGAACCATTTGAAACAGGGTCAAGGTAGAGTTATAGGGAAAATGTTACAACACTTCTCAGGGATGTTCATTATTCAAAGTTTAACAAGTACCCTCTTGCTGCAATCCCTGCTTGAACCATATGAAAGAAAAATGCAACGGTTCGATAGCTTTTTAAATTTACATATCTTGTGAGTATTTTTTGTCTATTGATTTGCTTCATTACAAGCTGTGTATATGCCCTTATAGTTGTTGTTTTTTCCTGTTTATGCACACGAACTTAGAAGTTAAAATTCACTCTCTGTCATTAATCGACAGGGTCATTGTTTCGGCGGTGCTGGATACGTAGGTGTTGGGGATCCACAGTTCTTCTATGCTTCCATCTCAGCACTCACGTTGGGAAAGATCCTAAGACTGCTTGGATCAACTATAGAAATTCCGTCTCCAATAGCAGCTACTGGCTTTCCCGAAGGTGCTAAGGTAATCTTGAGTACTAGAAAAAAACTTTATTAAGCGCGTCCAAACTCGGTTGAGTGCCAAACTGCCGTTTAACAGAAGTGAAGAAACAACTTATATGTGGATGTTTAACACGTAGTAATGAGCGTTTCTTTCACAAGAGTAGCGGCACAAACTGTTAGCTTTTCCAATGTAATATCTTTTTTTTTCCAAATTAGTGTGGTGGAAGGGGGAAACGTGCGTACCCTGTTAAAGCCATATTAAATTTAATTGCGTTGGACGAAGTAGGACGCTTGCTATTCGAGTCCCACGGGAGATCCCGAGGGTAGCGTTCTGGATACCACGCGATCTCAAGGTCTGGGTGCCATCTTGGACCGGCTGGCACATTCTGCCTCGATCTCATGTGCACAGTTTTTCTTGCCCGGGAACTGGTGTCTATTTTGTGACACTCGTTCACAGATGAAACATGTTCAAACATGTTTGTGTTTACTACAGTTTTGTTTATCGTTTTTCGCTGAGTTTTCAATTAAGTTTGTTTAGGTTTGTTTAAGTTTGTTTGTTTGTGAGTCGGGTTAACCCAGTGTCACACAACAAGAATTTGAAGTCATACGCAACCCTTTGACAGCTCAATCAATCAGCTGATCAATTAACTTTTCAGATGACTTTAATTTTCTGTAGCCCAATTTTTAGCCAATTTTATTGACTATCCTACGGTGCACAAGAATATATTGAGGATCACAGTCTATGTTTTACCTTGCAATTACTTACACGTAGTTTACTTCGAGGTTTAGCCAAGTAAGTGTAAAAAATACAGAACGTCCTTGCATTTTGAAGGAAAATGAAATACTGTAGGGAACAAATTATAAAGTGGGAGGATAAACAATAACACTGATAAAGACAGCTGCTGATATTCAATAGATAAAAGTGTTTGATTTTGATTTCTCAATCTCACTACCTACCCATCCCCTTTCCCATCGAACGCACTCTCCTGAAGCGTATCAGGATCAGCTCAGTCGGAAGACTGGGCTTACCTGCGACTTCGTTGGTTCGAATTCCAGGGTCGGATCAACACTCAGGGTCTTAAAATGACTGAGAAATCAAGGTACTGCCTTTGACCTGTAAAGGGGTAGACCTTGTTCAGTCGCACTTTGTAATACCTCTCGCACTTTGTAATGAAATTATTGCCCTTTGTCTGCCACGCAGGCTAGAGAACAAGTAAACCCAATGATAAGCATCACCATCGACAGCAACAACAACAGTAATAGTTACTGTAATATTAATAATACAGGATTTATCTCTGTTTTTAGTAATTGAATTTAAGCATCACTCTCAATTTAGCAATATAATACTTTATCTTATTATATGGCTGAGTCTGTTTTCGCCATGCGATTGGTCAATTTGCGGTCCGTAACTTGCTATACGGACCAGAATGTTTAAAGAAAATGCTCATTTCGGAGGTCTAAATCTCTTTACCTCGGAAAAAATGTTAAATAAAGTTATAAGACACCTGTTAACCTTTAGCACTTGGATGTTGACTTTGGCCTTCAACATTTTAAACTGTGTTTATTTGTGAACGAAGGCGATGAAGAAACTAACTCGTAATCTTATCGAAGAGGATTCTAGTCAGTGTTTGAAAATTTTATCGTAGTACACAGTTAAGAAGACGAAAATCGACTGACAGAGATTCGAGACTTTTTTCCTAAGAGAAAATGAGTAATTCCTTCAACAAATATGATAACAAACATACCTGCACCCAATCATCTTGACCAGCTTCTTTGCCATTAATTTGCAGTGTTTTTTCAAAGACCAACGAAAGAAAGATAGAAGCGAGTTCGAGCCAGACACAATAATGTCCAGTTTTCAAAAGACTCTAGCGTCACATTAACGAATGAATACTCACAGTGCTCTTAGTTTCCATCGAATAAACTTTGAAATATGTATGTAAACCCTGAGGACTGGGATGCTGACTTTGCCTTTCAAAATTTCAACCTGGCTTTTTAAGGGAACGAAGCTGTTGTAGAAACTGAATCGTAACCTTACCGAGGAAGAGAATTCTAGTCAGTCTGAAAATTTTAACGCAGATCACAATTGAAGACGAGAATGAACTGGCAGAAAGAGAAGTTTTCCCAAAAACAATTAACGAGCGAATGCTTCGACAATAACAACAAACTTACCTTGAAAATCTTCTTTGCCTTTTACAGTGTTTTTTCACAAGACGAACAAACGGAGGAAAGATGGAAACTACTTCTAGACAGACACAGTGTCCGGTTTCCAAAATACTCCAGCGTTACATTAAAGAGCTAAAACTTACAGTGCTCTCAGTTTTGACCGAATAAACTTTTTTGACATGGCGAATTTGTTTTTACTTTCTCGGAAAGCCATGGTTATGTGCTATTGTTTTCGTGCGCCAATAAAAACTTTCTTTTTTGACACCTGTCAAATGACTGTCAAATCGTGCGTCCTGCACTTGTTTCCGGTCCCACAAACAGGAAGAAGCCATATAATAAACATCTTATTAGCCTCGTTTTTTCGGTCCGTACTGTAAATTACGGATTCTCGTTTTTTTCCATCGATTTATGGCCCGCGCGCTTCGCACTTGGGCCATAAATCGATGGAAAAAACACTCGGTCCGTAATTTACAGTACGGACCGAAAACTCGGCTAATAAGAGGTCAGTGTAATCCAGGCTCTTTAATAAATGATTTGAGAAAAAAAAATGAATTTAAAAATGAGCAAATGGCAGATGCTGGGTTCAGTTTTTACCACACATAATTGCTCTCGGAATCTCATGACTTGCGGATATTTTTGCTTTATAAGCATCGTTTTATGCACAGATCAATTTTTTCTAAAACGATTACCTCGCTTTATGCGGGTTTCAGATAAAAAGAATACACTTAATTAATTTAAAATGGCGGATTCTAGATGGTGGATGGTTCCAGACCCTTCTTTAATATTGAATGACGTCATCATGACATCACAGCTTTTGTTTAAGATAATTTTAAATTTTTTTTGACAATTTCTTGATTTTGTTGGATTTTGCGAATAAATTTAACAATATGAGATCATAATGACATCAAATTACGTCATTCTGTCAATCAAGTTGTGCCTACAATCAGCGACAAAATTGTTGAGACATTGTACGGAAATAGGGTAAATAGGGATCAGAGAACAAAAGAATCCGCACCCCTCCCCTGCCCCGTCCATTCAAAGTTGGGGTGTTTGTTGTTTTCTATAGGTAGCTCCACTAGGAGACGTAAAATAGTGTCCCAAATACACTGACACCCAAATGAAGTGTTTGTTTCTTTTATTCTTTTTGAGACATCATCTTTTAGGAGCGGTAAAAGGATGCGTTATACATTGCCACCAACTTAAGATTAAAGTTTGAAAGCGCCTGCATTTTGCGTCGAGAAACAGGACCGGACCGTCCATTGCTTCTGCAGGGTGTGTTTAATTCTAAAGGCGTTTAAAATCTTTACAGGGTGCGTACGCTACATCAACTGTTGATTTGCGAATTGCCGGAGGTCCATTGGTCAAAGAAGGTTTCATGATTAATGGCAAGGTCAACATTCTAGGATGGGAAATTTTTGCATTCATTAAATTATCTGAACATGTGAGTATACCTCTGCAAGCCTTTTTTGTGTGCCAATGTATTCAATAGTTACCTTTAAGTGTGCTTCGCATTTATTGGAGTTGTACCACAATATCGTAACAGCGGGTTGTTCGCTGGTGGTCGAGTTCCGCTATATTTTAACTTTTGTCTCCCCCACTACACTTGCAGTCGTTTGGTCTTTTTTTGACAATTGCTTTAGGAGTCGCTCGCGCTTCTTCAATGAATAGATCAGTCAAGTCTTAATATGACTGAAATCGACTGAAATACTGTCTTCAGTAAAAGGGTTGTAAAGTTTTGCCTTAACTTTGTCGAAATGGGCGCCCCCCAGGGCAGCTAAGCGTATGGTGTTGTAAGTTAAGTCACTGCTCTTCTTTTAAAGCTCCAAGCGACTCTAAATTTTAGCTATGTTCTATTCTTTTCTGCCTTTTTTTAGGCAATTCTGGTAGACTTGAAGCCCGACCCAATCAACATTTTAGGCATCGCCAAAATAGTTCGAAGTCCAACCGACATAAGTCAGGGACCATGGTTCTATGTCGTGGGTAAAAAAGAGCCGCTGTTCGTTGAGGTGAGTTTGTTTTGTTTATCAGGTGGATGTTTAGACTATTGAAGTCAACAAAAACCTTGGCTTTCTGTAGCTTAGATGAATTGGGTTAATTGATGTATAGTTAGGTGTTCGTCACTGGCAACGGAGTTGCAGAACGGCGCTTGCTACCCTAATGTTCATTTTCGATGGAGTCTGAAGTGGCCAGAATTGGAACGTCCCCGATTCGATGTATGACTGCGCTTACGATCCAGTGAAAACTATATGGACGCTAGCAGAACCGCAAAAATTAACCAACACAATGCCTGAGATAAAAGCGTAAAATTGGTATATTATTCCTCTTTTGCTTGCGAGTCCGAAACTTCGCTTTTCACTAGATCGTAAGCGCTGGAATTGTAGCGGCATTGCAAACTCTGCAAACTATTCTGCCGTTTGATTATCAAATAAATCGTAACACTCTGCGCTCTTGATTTTGATTCTAAATCAGACTCCGTCATAAAATTAATATCATGAAGTTTCTCGGCCTTTTTCACTAGGCGTATATCGAGGGTTACACGCAGCTCCTGGGGATTTCCACGTATTGTCGCTTGAACTTGACTATGACTCATGTGGAATTACTGCTACAAGGAAATTTCCTTGGTCTCATAAGAGCTGAAGTATTTGTGGTAGCTGGTTTGAGATTAGAATGGTTGGGTGCCGACTTTTACGTCAGAGTCACCATAGACTTAAGCGGGATAAATAAGGTAAGAAAATACGCTTACCAGACTGGTCCGAATTTTAACTTTGGAGCAAAGACCGTTCCAGGATACAGCACATCTAAAGTAAATTTAAATGTATGTTGAAAAAGAAGTCGACCTTAACGAGGTCATGTGTCGTCCGTGCCAGCTAAAAGAAGCCGTAGCTAATCATTAAACTAAACATTTCACTGGCGGTGAAAGCTCTATTGCGTAAACTTGTTAAAACAACATGCTCTCCAATGCCACACAACACTTAGACGACCACATAAAATTGTCCTTACACTTTAAACTTGGACTCATTAGGTTTGTTAGTCACAATTCAAACAGCAATTACAACAAAACGCTTCTCTAAGACTGACTTGAATTTCTTCCTTTCAGGCGTTGGATGAGGCTGCGAAATCAGTAAGAGCTGCTTTTGATGTAGCGGAGAAAACATTAAGTGATGCAAGAGAAGCTGTTGTCAGAGCCAAAGAGGACTGCAAAAGAAAGATGCAGCTCAAGTGTGATAACTGTAAGAGTCTTAAATGCAAACAGGCGGAGAATAATTGTAAAGGTTTCCTCGATGCTGCTGGAAAATGGATCAGCAAAAACATTTTAGCTCCAGTAAGTGAGACCATAGGAATTCAGTTGCCAGTAAGGTCGATTTGTTCATAAAGACAATTAAGCTATCTAAGGGACAGATCCAGAAACTTAAGAGAGCCATACCATATACGCTTATCATTTCCTGTCTTATTTCAAGGCAATAACAGAATTACGTTATTGTAAGGGTTGATCGTTTTTGCGACATTTTTCCAGCAATAAATACCAAAAAAGACGTGAAAAGCAAACAGATTTGGAAATATTTGAGAGGATAATTCGGTGGAGAAACTCCTGTAATATTCAAGTAATGATCGCTTGTGTAATCATGTATCTTCACCGCTGCAATCAGTCAAACAAAACGTTACAGAATGTTTTAAACCAATTTACAGAATGTTACAGAATGTTTTAAACCAATTTTTTAATAAGCTGTGAGTCCCTCCCAAAAATAGTTGGGTTGAAAACTAGCTTCTTCGCTATTATAATAAGCCAACAAATGACCGAAAAAAAAAAGTACAAAGTTGACATATATTGTTTATTGTGAATTGTAGCTATTGAAAACACCTTTGTCGTAGTCTATACAATAGATGTGACCAGCTGAATAAAATGGAGATGGATTGAAGATTATACTTTAATACTTCAGATTGGACAAGCCTTCAAGAAATTTTTCAAAGGCTGGAGAAGGAAGCGCGGTCTTGACAATCTGCGTAATGATAATTTCGCTCATCATCTCCGACGGCGCCGATTCGTCAGTAAGCTCCTATGTGAAGGAATTGTTGGAGGGGGCTGTCAAGGTTAGTGTAAGAACCTTATAAGTAGTTGAAGTGTGTTAATTTCCCTTGTACACCATTGCTTTCGAATAGTTCTTGTAGCGAGTACCATATTTGGAAAAGGTTTAAAATGAAACTAGCTTATCAATCTTGAATCATCTCACCGATTGCACTGAAGCGATCAAGGGACTTTCAAGTCCGGTGCTTACTAAAACGGAAATTTTTCGAAAGCTACGAACGCGAGTCACACGTCTCAGCCCGTAAGGGGTTTCTGTTTTATTTTCGCATTCGAGAAAAACGCTTTCCTGGCCGTCATGTGTTTTTTTTATTTTCATCGTGTGTTTTAGAATTGTCTTAAAAATCTCTTGAACGTGAGCTAATTGTGCCTAGTCAGTTAATTATAACTTTGGTTGAGGCTGAGGATAGGATAATGTACTTTGAAAGAATCGGGTCGTCTGGATTTTAATCTCTTTCTAGTGGCTGGTTTGCTGATTGAATTTGTTGTTAAAATATTTCTTTCCATTCCAATTTTGATGAACAAATTTCAATGTAATAGAAGACAATTAAGTGAGAGAACTGTGGTTGGACAGTTTGACGTAAGGCTGAGCAAGACTTCCATTCTTCCATGATAATGCGCGCGACCCTGAATAGAATGCTTTTACTATTAATAACTAAACGATTGTATTAAATTGAAGAAGATTCCGTTTGTTGCTGTCCTGCGATGCTTTGTTTGGTCTCAAACTACACGTTAACTGTCATGTTTGAATTCTTTGTCTCATTTTATGTGATATACTTTTTTAGGAATCGCTCATCTCTGTGAAGGAACATGCAAGACGGTGGAGGCTATCGGAAAGGGCTTGTGTAATGTATTGGACGTTGCTGTTGGTTTTCTTAAATTAACGGAAAAGGTAACTGCTTGGGTTGGCCGCGCAGTTCACTTCCTTCTCACCGCATTCAGAATAAACAGGTACTTTTTTCTTATTATAGGGACAGAATAATTGTTCGGCCGGTGTCAGAAGGTGGTGGCAGGTAAGGGGGGCGCGGGGAGGGTGGGTGTTGAAGCTCCAATGACTTTGAAACCCCAGTTTGTACTTTGGGATTATTTGAAATGTGGTAATGGCTCATTGATGACGAGTGGTACATTCAAGATTGTTGCTAAAATCAGTGGCCTCATGTTGCAAGAGATGTCCGTCCTGATTCTTCTTAGTGGAAGAGAGGATGCAGCTGGTCATCCTCTTTGTCACATGTAAAAGAAGGCCTTCTCTGTATTGCTTACTTAAGGAAGTTTAACCGGCCTCCTCGCAGGATAATGTTGACTCCGCTTCCCTTACCTGCGAATTCCAGAGGCAAGTAAAGACATGAGAGCTGCAAAATATTAGGCGCCCCACCAAAACCGATACATGTAAAAGTGCAAAAGGAACTAGCATTTGTGGAAATGAAAGAGAGTCCAGATCATCCTTAGTCGGGACAATTCTCTTTAATGGTTGTAGTACTACAGCTCACACACAGACGTTATCCAACTCTACTGGAAAATAAGACCGAGCCCGCAGTGGCTGCCATGGAGCTAAGTGTGTGTATTACAGCCGCAAAAGCTACGATGACCACATCGAAAAGAGATCTTCAAGCTTTTTTTTTACAAGCTGATAATAATTATCCGAATCTAGCATCTACTTGACCAGTAAAACCTCCGGAATCCATTCTTTTGTATTTACCAAGCTAAAAAACTGTTCCTTACTGTATGAGTCAGTGAAAAAAATAATTTAACTGCAAATAGTAAAAATCTGTTCAGGTAGGATAGTGTTTGGTTGAAGGAAATATGATCATAATTATTTGAAAGGGTCTCGAATCGTTAGGTTGGTTGGGCATTCTTAAAAGTTGACGATTGTGCAATAATAACCCAAAATACATAGAAGAACTACAAATTGGATCTGATCAAGATGTAGACTGTACGCAAGAAGGGATGTACCTTTCATGGGGCCAAGCTCTGGCCCTAATTCAATTAATGATCTTTATGTCTGTAATATCCGTCGTATGTAGCTGAAAACCCCTTAATAAACGTGTATGGTATTAAAACTAACTTACATGCTTGTCATTGTATCTATTCAGCATCAAGTTCGAATTTTCCTTGGCAGCCTACGTTCGAGGAAGTTTTGCCGAATTGATATTCAGCACGGGGATTGACTTGGTGATATTTGGAAAAGAGCTCTACCTTTCTCTGGCGTTCAATCTTCGAGATCCAGTAGGTAGTGTTAGAGTAGGAGGTGACAAGTCCGTGAACTGGTACAAGGACAAAATGAACCAGGCGAATCCCACAGACACTTCAGAGAACTACTACGACAATCCGAATCAATTTGTTGACTTTGAACTCTCAGGTAAAATGTAGAACAGAGAAACGTTAGCAGATAAAACGGAATATGATATCAACAGGAAATGATGAGATAGTTTCGATTTGGTGAAAAGTCAATTGCGATGGCAATAGGGGCCCTTATAAAGAAGAGATTTTTATTAAAATTCGCCAAAGGTTTGGCGAAAAGTCATGTTCATTGGCAAAAATGGCCCCATGAAAAGTGGCGATTCCAAAGGCCTCTTTTTGCTATATAATGTGAATATTTGCCAAGCCCGTAGGGAAATTCTTCCCTTTTGCCTTTGCATGCATTTTTGAACGTAAGTAGAAACGATACACGTTAAATGAAGAGTTACTGAGATAACGTTTGAGTCAGTTAAGTTTTTTTGAAATAAGATAACCAAGAGAGTTTACCGCTGTTGGTCTGTGGCTGCATATCAACACAGGGCCTCTTTCTGATTCAAAATATTGATATTGAAGCAAGCCAGATAAACGCAAAGCGGCAAAGACCTGTTAGGTGGCTTCAAATATTTTTAGAAGTAAAATAGCAGTGAATAAGGTGATACTAAGGTTGATCATAGGATCCAGGACCATTGCCGACTTATGCACTCTTTTATTATTTCATTATAAAGAATACTTCTTGATCGAAAATCAACAGTCAGCGACAGACCACAGATACGGCCCTTGCCTTTACGTGGACTCAAAAGCAGACGATGCCCTCATCAAAGTAACTGGTTGCAATGAAACGGACGAAAGGCAACGCTGGACGTACACACAAAAAGGACAAATTATGGTAGTAGCAGGCCTTTCTATTTCAAGAGGCTTACGGGAGTTTTAATTAGAGCTTAACATATATATACCATTCAGTATTAATTGTTTTATGTTTTTTTTCGTATTCCACATTATGATTCCTTAATTAATATCTTGTCAACAGAAAATATGTTCTTGACGAGTAATGGTCTGGCCGGGTCAGTACCTTGCAAAACGAAACCCTATTACGATCCTAGTTAGCCCCGTCCGGATCATGTAAAAGTTTTCCTAGCCATCTTTTCTCTCATACAGAAACTCAAGTTACATTTTTTTAATTAATCCAGGGTAAGAATAGTAAACAATCAGTCCACTTGATTGAAAAAAAAAAACAATTTTCAGATGTCTTCCTACAGCCACCGTTTGAAGTTACAGTCCTAATAATAACAAAATTTTGTTGCATTTTAGAACTCCTACTCAAACTTGTGTATCGATACGAGTGGGTATAATAGGGGTTCAAGGCTAAAGCAGAGCAGATGTGATCCGAGACAAGATGATCAGAACTTCCAGTGTGATTTGGTAGTAAGGTCCATCAAAAGGAGAAGGTTTAACCAGTGCTGGACAGTAGGTAAGTTAACTTTTTCCAAGAAGCAACAGTTAGTGAATGATTATGGCATTTTGCATGGTTATTTCTTTCATTTTCCCTCTTGAGACTCAATACTTCATTCAGTTTAGCAAGAGCTTATTTTAATAAGGTCGCAGACCGAGTAGAGTGGTTTGTTGGGGGCTCGTTTGTTCAAAACTTTTGCCCAGCTGTTCACCAGCAGGAGTGATTCTTGTTAGGCTCAAACTCAATACCGAATGGTTCACACCTTTCTGTTGGGAGTTATTCTTGTTTCTTTATTTTTTTTTACTTCAAGTGGTTGATAGTACACCTAAAAAAAATCTCGTGAGTCATGCTATGATCTTAACCTTTTTTCCCACCTGGCCTTGGTTGGTTAAAGGCTGGATAGCCCTATCCACCGGATAAATCTCTGTCCAGTGGATAGTGCAATTAGTTTCCTCAATACTTATCCGCTGGATAGTGATCTATCTGGTGGATAGCACTATCCAATGTTTGAACAACCGGGCCCTGACCTACAAAACGCACCCTAAATCGCATTTTTTAATGATTTCAGGTAAAACCAGTGTGAATGGTCCAGGTTCGTTAGTTCACCTTGGCTCCTTGAAATGCATCCATCCAGTCGGAGGAGGGTACAAAATACTTGAAGGAATTAAACTAGTTCTTTATGCCGATTGCAGTTCAAGTCGGTAAGTAGATTACAGTATACATGTAACTCAGCGGTTTAGAGCAGTTTTAAGAAAGGCCTCGATAGAAGCGCCCTGTCCTCCATATCTTTGTAAACCATGAGTAGAAAAGGGAGACAAATACGCGTGATAGAAGAAGCATTTTGCTTCAAATCAAACACAAAAAAAATTGTTTTATTGAGATTGTCCATTGTTATGAAGAAAAGGACGATATATAGCATTAAAATGATATGAACTAGGGATATCGCGTATGAATGAAACAATTGTCCTATCAGCAATTCTTGTAGCTGCAAAGAAAATTTAGACAAATAACACTGTTTACAAATAAAGAACTTTCGAGTGGAAGTACAGGAGAAAAGAGTATGAAGAAGTGAATTAAGAAAGTCGTTAGGGAAATAACAGTCGTGATAAAACTGCTAAGACAATAACCAGACACTAGATCCAAAGTGTCGAACATGATCAATTTATGCCGTTGAAGATATAAAGCTTTGAACACCTTTTCCCTTTGCATTACCAGACTAGAATTCAAAATAGAGAACGGTTATTTAATGCACACGAAGAGTGGAAAATGTGTGCGGCCAGAGGGACCAGTCGCTGAAGGTGTTGCACTTGGTTTGTACTCGTCATGTGGCGGTCATCAGTTTAGTTTCACTACTGGAGGATCACTGCAGCACATGGGAAGCAAAAAATGCGTCAATACTCAATCAGGGGTAAGACATTGGCTAGATTCGGTAACCCTCCTAGGTACATTAGATTAAAAAGTTTAATTTAAATCAATGAACAAACACTTAAATGTGCGCATTAAAATGGTTAAATGCTTAAGAGAGTTGTCAACATTTATGCTTTCAAAAAACTAGAAGCATAAAAGCACATTGCGGGATAAAAGAGAAAAATAAATCGATGTCAGCATTAAGTTGATATGTTTTCCTTTTTTTCCCCTGGCTTTGTTATTGCTGAAGGCGAATAACATCAGAATAGTTAACGTTTTCGTGTTTATATGAATGTACTGTGTCCATTTAGCTTTTAAGTGTTAACGTCAACTAAACTTGATTTAAGTGATTTCTTTTCTTTAACCCAACATTTAAGATAGCCTCTATAGATAGTAACCTCGTGTCCTATGCACCTAACAGGCTGGCCGGATAAACGTATTGTTGTTCTTTGAATTTTATTAGGCAATGTTACCAGCGAACAACGAACAGATAGTCCTGAGTAGCAAATGTGAAAATACTGACTTTTCGGTCTTCAAGCAACACCTGAAATTTAACTTTATACCAAGTAAGATACTGGAACAAACTCTTAGCTTGAATTAATGTCGGAAGAAGCTTTCCAACTACTTTATTGTAACCTTTTCCAGGGACAGTAGCAGTACACTTAGCCCATAACCTATTATTATCCCCTGGGTATGTGGAAACGAGTGTGTTCAAATAGCGTGCAAAAATGGACCTACAGTTACAGACGCCACCGACTGGTTAACTCAGTTGTTTAATTCTTTAAGCCTTAAGATTGATCAGCATGAAATTACTCCTTATAATATCAATGCCTTAGAAACAAAGTGGTCATGAGAATTAAGGACTTGATGGGAGAAGAAGAATCTCATTTTTTATATTAAGGTTTTAAGGGTAAAGTACCGGATTTTGGAGGATCCAACAATCTCTGGCTGTGACCACCCTTAGTGTATATCTCCAGGCAACAAATAGGAGTCCTGTTCTGTTGTGTTAGCCTTACCATGCAAACGTGATTATAACGTGATTGGTCTTTATGTGAAATACTCAATTCCAAAATGTACATTTTAATCAAACTAAAGAACGTGTGTTGAATGTAAGGAAAATACAATAGAAACTGCTTTCTTTTGAGACATTTTATACTTTGTGTTGACGCGACTGTCCTGCCGACTTACTGCATCAGCTCATATTTGTGTTTTTTTAATATTTATCCGCAGCCTTTCCTTTCGTACAACTGGACAAGTGCACTCACTTTGACGATGCAAGACTCGATCAGAGATTTGAAGTGGTCGATGAAACTGCCGCCAGCATTTGCTCCAAGTTTTACAAAAGTAATTCCTCATAATAATGTATCATAATTCGTACATTCGGCGTTGCACAAAAAACGATAACATTGCTTTCATCCACTGACCATTTAACACTGAAAAGAGAGTTAACTTATTTTTTCACGAAACAATTTCACGTTACAAATTTAACATTCACAAGTTACTTTGCAATAAAAATTCGTTTCGCATTTGTTTCTAATCCCTGTCCTCTCCTCTTGTTGTTGAAGGGTGCTTCCCTATAAAAATACCGGGGACAATCTTCGCACCTTGACATTTGTGGAATGGTACCATTTATGATGTTTTAGTCTAAAAAGACCACCATTAGGACTGCCATGGTACCTTTTACGAGCCATCAAACGTGTCAAGGCACTCACCAGTGAGATCTCTTTGTTACTTGACCGGTTTTAAGTGAATCTGAGCCACGATCCCAAAGCTACCTTGTATACGGTATATTCCTACGACCCAACAGATTTCGTGTGTTCAAAGTTGTTTACATAGGGTATTGTTGAAAGCGCTGAAAGGTAACGGCACCGTGGCTTGTGAATTTAAGTCCTCCACCAATGTGGCACTGTTTCGTGACCCACAGGCAAACCCTTGGTTCTTTTAACTTCCTTTTCCCACTGCATTCTGTTTTCCTCATCCTCGGGTGTAGACTTACGAGCACAAATTAAGAGTTATAAAAAGCTCTTAGAAGTTTTTTTCAGGTAAAAGGAAGAAACTGGCAAAAAATATATAATGTAATTCTATATTTAAATTTTTTAGTGTGTTAGTGAGAATTTTTTTATACCATTTACAGATCTTGCTTTAGGGAAGACAACAGAGCAATCCAGTACTGATTTCAACGGATTTAGCAGAAGGGCTGTAGATGAAAACTTAGGCCCTTTTTCTAACAGTAAATCCTGCACGCACACCAAGAAAGAACAGAATCCATGGTGGAGGGTTGACCTTGGAAGGGAGTACATTGTCACAGGTACGTGAAGAAAATCAAAAAATTATATTTCTATGGTTAGATTTGGCCAGGTGACAGACTGGCCAAGGGACCAGTTACTGTTTTCATGATCACTTTCCTGCTATTAAAAGGGAACGAATGGGGCTCTCCGCTCCCATATGAGGTCAGTAACCCAATCCCACTATCCTAGTCCCTACTATCAGGCCCACTTGACCGGCCCTTTGGAAAAACCAGTGTTGTTTCCATTCAACCTCATAAGAAAGGTTATGAGAGTTCGACGGGGAATGAACCCGCTAACTCCAGGTCATCTGCCAGTTTTGGTGGTTTTCAACTGTGCGTGTTGAAACACCACTACAAGAACATTTCAATGAGTGCCAGCACTTTGAGTGACTGCTTTTCTGTCTTGCAGATGTGCAGATCGTAAATCGTTATAAACATTATGAGAGACTCAAGAATTTTGAAGTAAGGGTTGGTGCAAACAAGAATAACTTGCAGAATCCCACATGTTCGGACCGTGTTCGGTCTGTTGGCCAAGGAGCTCCTGTGACTCTTCAGTGTGCCCCGCCAATCCCAGGGCGATATGTGTCGGTACAGATGTTTGGTGAAGGAATTTTGTCAATGTGTGATGTAATGGTTTACTCTAGAGTAGGTGAGTGACAGCTAAATTTCCAAGTGCCTCTTTTCTATTTATTTGTTTTACCGTATGGCACGAAATTTTTGCGATTTTTGTAATTTTTCCAGTGATCCGCAAAAATAAGTTCCCGCAAATAAAAATTACCGGGGACATTTTTTTCCCGCAAAAATTTACTCCAGAGTAAATTCAGTATACAAAAATACAGTAGTAAGAAATCGTGTCTGTTCAATTACAACTTGTGTCTGATCTTTCGTTCAGAATCAAAGCGGTATACAATGAAATACTGGTCGTAGAGTACGTATAAATCTCCAGAGAGTGATATACATGAAAGCAACATATAAGGGATTGTAACCTGAAACGTTCGAAACTGTAGTTATGCTTTCAGTCATACTCTTTTGAATAGTCTCAGCAGGATATATTCTCATACAAGGTTCCACTGGATTACAGAAGTATGAAATCTACCATTCTCAGTACACGAACTTTATCCTTAAGTCCGCCATGTTGGATGACGTCACTGGCATTTAGGAGCGCCATTTAAATATGTATGCCACCCAGACGACATAACAAGCTATCTATTTAGGGTAGAAACTTTTCAAAAAATGGTTTCGTAACGAAAACGCTGGGGGGGGATTACCACAGTGCGGTTGACTTTGTATAGTCGTCCGAGGGTTAATATACAGTCGAATCTACGCCTAAAGGATAACTTCCGTAAGTAGACATTTACATGGTTCTAGCAAAATAGACAACAGAAGCTGCCTTTTTAACGCTTTAAGCCCAAGGATGTTCGCTTACGGAAGATACAACTGCATAATTCATTAGCTAGACGTGCAATCTCCTTCTTTGACGGTGACGATAGCTCAGACTCAATTCGTATGCTTCCCCTTGATACAGGTTCCTTAGCTGATCTGTGCCAACTTGATAATGGCGGTTGTGAACAGGTTTGTTATAACCTGTGTAACCTGAAAGTCCAATGTGGTTGTTGGCCTGGCTATACTCTCGCCTATGATGGCAAAACGTGTATTGGTGAGTGGCAATCTGCTTAGACGCTATCTTTGTCTACTTTCGTTGCCGATAAAAACCTTCTCAAAAGAAAGCGATCTCAAAAAAAATTTAAAAAGCGACCTCTTTTATTTCAAATATTTGTCTTGTCTCTTCCCCATAATCTTCGTTTCCCTCTGTTTTGTTATGCTTAGCGATGGGACAGCAAATATTACATTTTTTCTGCCCAGTATGTCGTAAAACAATCCAGTCATAATAGTTTAAAAGCAGTGGAGAACTAGGGATTTCTTACTTGCTGTACTAACCACAGATTTCTCATTTTCATTTAGACAAAGATGAATGCAAAGTTAACAATGGCGGCTGCGATTACGCACGCGGCATGTGCATCAATACTCCAGGAAGTTTTCACTGCGCATGTAATCAGGGTTATGAACTTAAAGAGAACAGTGAATTCGAGTGTGAAGGTAAGAAATGGTAGAAAGAGGGAGAAAACACGTTAGGGGAAAGACTCCATTAGAAACTAGGGCAAGATTGGAACATGTTATAACTAACGAGCAACATTTTGAGTAAACATATTTGGAAAGATAGGGATTAAAATGACATTTTTAACCAAAAAAAATGATAAACGCTAAATGCAAAGCAGTCACAATGGTTAACTCAATAACTAGCAGACAAGAGACTGGTGAGATTCAAGTTATTAGTCGTATATTTTAGCTTAGTTTCAGTAAATGTGTACACTAACTATCTGCCAATGGTTATTTTATGACTGATTTGTTAACATTGTATTTAGACAACCCTACTCCGGTATTGTGCAGGGAATTTTACACTGGTATATTACACAACCACTAAAATTATGAATGAGTACCCTCTTACTAGTCAAACAACATTCGAAACTAATGATTTTTATACCCATTTCCTTTGAAAGATTTTAACGAATGTAACCTGAATAACGCCGGATGTGAACACGTGTGTAATAACACTGGAGGAAGTTTCAACTGTGATTGTAGATCCGGCTTTCAGCTTAAGGCGGACAAGAGAGGCTGTGAAGGTAAGATCGAAATACTGCACACTCCTTGGTCAGGCGTTATAGTGCAGTAATGACTACTTTGTGTCCTGAGAGTCTCTTGTTGTCGCCCCTTTGTACCGTATCTTGTTTCCTAATGCGAACATTTGGAAATAAAGTATTTCAGTTTGCTACCTAACTTCAAAAGAATTTGAGCAATTGAAAGCGACAATTTCTAAGTGGCCTTACCGTCCTTTCGACACATTTTAGCTCTCAAGCAGTGTTCAGTAGTGATATGCTGGCTATCAAATAAGCAAACTCCTCAAAGTAACTTTTCTCGCGCGCTTTGACATTTTGAACCGTGACGATCTTATAAGTAATGATTTCTAAGCTAATTACCGGGTTTTGAATCTTCACTAAGACATCAACGAATGTGCCAAAGCAGATAAAGGCGGCTGTGAACACAAATGTACCAACTACGAAGGTGGATATTACTGCTCCTGTAATGCCGGATATCGACTCATGGAAGATGGCAAAGGATGTGAAGGTACAGTACTCGACAGACAGGACCTTTGTAGCTGAAGCTTTATCGAGTTGTTAGTAGTACAGTGGGGATGAAATTGCTCTCTTTTTACCGCTGAAATATCATTAGTTTTTCTTTAACATGAAAGACGCCATTAGCTACTGACTGCGTAAAAATCCTTGAATGTTTTCTTTGACGATGATCATAAGTCTAATTAAACGCTTGCAAAATCCTTTGCCACTTAAAATCAGTGAATCGATTTGGCGTAAGTTTAATTCATGACCCCATAAGGTCACTGACGTTAATGAAAAGAGACTCCTTCTAATTTTTTCAGACGTCACCGCAATTTAATAAGATTCCATCGTTAAAAAGGAGGACATTTTCAACCGTTCTGTACTTTTACTTGTCACCCCGAAGCCGTACAAAGCCTCTCTTGTCTCCTCTTTTCTTTTCTTTTACACCCCAGTCTTCAAAGATTTGTCCTTGAACGCAAAGCACGGGTTACAAAATAAGACTAAGGGAAGCTCATTTATCCCTGTTAAATGATGAAACGCCCTCACGTGTAAAAGACGTAAAACGTTCATTAGGGCGTTGTGTAAAGAAAAAATTGCAGAAGTCTGGCATTTTTAATTTGGTTGACAGGTTTTGCACGTTTATTTTTAATTTGAATAATCATACTTTTGGCCTTTTAGAGATTTACTGTCCCGCTCTGGAAGTTCCTTTCCGTGGCCTCGTCGCCCCTGCAAGCTGTACTGACGACAGAGCAAGCATCCGACGTAACACTGTCTGTTCATATGGTTGCGAGTCTGGACATTACATTGCAGGCGGGGATAACTCACTTGTCTGTCAAATCAACGGACTTTGGAATGGAAATGTACCTTATTGTAAACGTAAGTGTCTCTGTTATAACTTGTATACACATGGGACCATGATTTATAGCAGTGAAATACAAGTGATCTGCTATGAGTTAAATTCAAAGTCGATGGTTAAAGGGATACAAGGCTCTTTGACCTTTTGCACGGACTTATTTTACTGTGTCAGGAGCGCCCTTCTATCAGAGAACTTTAGATTTACAGGCGAAAACGACTTTTTAAAAACGTATTCTCAAAAAACGACTCCCCAGGAAGTTTTGATGTACTTTTTTTCCATCAAAAACGTTAGCACTGTTATCGTTATTGAAGAAGGTTAAGCCCTCTCCTGATGACAAAGTGATAAAACTTCTAACACTTGATAATTTGTTTTCACCACTGCGACATGCTGGCAAAAACTCGTAGTGGAATGACGTCAGCTATCACGTTTTCCCGCCAAAATGACGCTGGCTCACGCCCAAGCAACTGCTCACTATTGAGAATATCTCCTACTCGTAGTGGTCCTCGTCTCACAATCTAAATGTCTCTATTTCCATAAATGCAGCAGTTTGTAATCTTACGTTGCTATATGCAGTGGAAAGTTAATGAGAAGGAATAATTCTTTGGATCTATAATACACTTCTTGTAGCAGGCTAAGGCTAGGTATAAAATAATATTTCCTGTCACTATTCTCTTATCAGCGGTTGTTTGTCCCAAGTTATCCGTTCCTAACCACGGAGGAGTGGTTCCCTCATCTTGCTCCAAAAAGGACGTTGAGTACGGCACACGGTGCGTCTTCTATTGTGATAATGGATATGCATTGAGTGGACCTAGGTACACCGCATGTCAGAACGACACAAACTGGAGCGAGAAAGCGCCACTGTCTTGCGTGAGGGGTAAGAACAAATTCTTTATTTGCCTGCGATTCCGAAAAAAATACTTCATCGTTGCAAATACTATCACCTGATCTGTGGCAGTATCATTATCATAGCTGTTAGTTGCATTGCAATTTTTTTTCGTGATACCTATTTCTAAGACTTGTCTATTTCTTTCAACTTTCCAGTGTACACGGATCCCTGGATCGTGTGCCCAATGGACAGAGTAGAGGAACTTCAGCCAGACGCTTCAACTGTGGTCCTTGGGTTCAAGTGGCAGCTTCCACGATCTAACCTGAAAAATGTATCGGTGTCTCCTAGCAACTTCAATGCGAATTATGCCTTTCCTGTTGGAAGACACCGTATCACGTGGACGGGAATCAGTGACAAAGGAACACAAAAGAGTTGCAGCTTCTATGTCATTGTAAATGGTGAGGACGACGATTGAAAGTATTTGTTGCCTGTTTCTTTTGGTATAGGAATTTAGGCCTGATTAGGAAAATCTTTCGAATAACTTCTACCATCGATACGATACTTAATTTGAAACACCTTTAGAAGTACTCAAGTCTCTCGGACGGGCTACATCTCTTTTATATCATTATCTGTGATTACGGCATCTGTTTCTTTACCTAGATGTGATTCCTCCCTCGGTCAAGAACTGCCCTTCAAGCATCACCGAACGCACCAATTCACTACAGAAGAACATTACATGGACACCACCAACATTTACGGACAACGTGGACGTGGTGAGCGTACTGTCTAATCGCCAGCCTGGATTCACCATGAATACTTACACGTCATTAACAGTAAAATACACGGCTTTAGATGCTGCTGGAAACTTTGGGTACTGCACATTCAACATCACGCTAGAAGGTACACCGGTAACCCCGGCTTACTGTCAGAGCTATCAAATACCGACCTGCTCAACACTTAAATATACTTGTATAACATGCCAATGAAGGGTTTATTTGAAAATATGATTAGCTTTTGGGATTGTCTTCTAGGTCATCACAAGGTTGGCCTTGCAATGTTCTGTGTTCTAGAAAAGGAAGGAGGAGGGCGCATATGCTCCGTTTATCGTACCCACTGTTGCTTTACTAAGCCGAAATAGCGCCGCATATTTTACTATGCCTCTTTTTTTTTCCTTTGTTCGTATTCTATTGCAGGAACAAAGTGCCCCGTAATACCAAATCCAAAGAACGGTATAGCGTCACAGTTTGGCTTTTTCCTGCAGTTGAGGTGTAATTCTGGTTACTTCTTTAACCCACAACCACCGGGATATACGGGCTTGTTTGTGAATCCATCTTATAGATGTCAAGATAATAAATGGACTGCTATGTTTTCTCCAAACGCAGTTTTGTCCGGAAAATTGGATTGTATGAGTAAGTTACTGTTTGGATATTGTTTATAATTGACGGGCTTTGACGTTTTCTTACGCACTGATGGAGGGTAGGCCTGGGTGTAGGAATAAGGCCTAAGTGGAAAGTTTATTTAAATGATCTTACTGATTTAAGACTTATTGGCTTTCCAAATAAAGACAAATTAAAAGTGGCTGTCATTTGGACACGTAAAGGCAGCTCTTTCGCCGAATACAAAGTCACTACAAGCATTCCGTGTCACCTAAATCTTATTTGTTGTCAATTTGATCACTTAGCCGCCATAGTAACGGTGCTAGTAGTATAAAGGCGACGTTTTAATCCCCTTTTTTGCGAATGATTCGTATCAGGGAAATGTTTCAGCAAGTCTGAACATCGGTCAAAACAGTGTAGTTTGGTTAAAAAAAATTTAAGCTTATGTCCTACAGAAAACCTCTGCATTTGAATGCTTCCTTTTCAGAGTACATTCTTTACAATGGTGCTCGTTGCCCAGCTGGTTCAATTGCTGTGGATAATCAAGTTTGTCGTAAGTAAATCTTAATTATATTCCCATAAAGATCGACGCAAATACCCTCTGGCGTGCGATTATATATAGCTGATTCAGTAAAGGTTGCTATGGGCATCTCAATGCAAATCATTGCATTGTTCGGTAAGGCCAAATGCACAAATACCCAATTGCCAATGCCAAACGCCTAAAGCAACCTTTATTATAAGCTATATACTTTGGTGATGAGTTGTGGTTTCTTTTTTTTTTAGTAAATTGTCCTCCTGCAACGTACAGCGACAGCTTGACTAACACGTGCAAGGACTGCAACGTTGGGTTCTATCAAGACCAGGAAGGGAAACCAGAATGCCAACCATGCCCAAAGAACCACTCCACTGCCGTTACCGGATCCAAAACCATCTCTGACTGTCAACGTAAAAAAATTGCCTGGAATTTCTAGTGTATATCCTATTTATTAATATAATCTATTTTGTCAGCTATTAATAAAGATGGATTTTTTTATTGTGTTATAGCTATATGTCTAGCAGGAACCTACTCCACAAACAATGGTGTTAGTCCTTGTAGGAAATGCCCTATTGATACCTACCAAGATACTGAACAAATGACCAGCTGTAAAGCATGTCCTGCTGGAACCGACACCAAATACGAAGGCAGTACTTCCATTGACGACTGTGAGGGTGAGTAAATGGGGTCAGGAATAACAAACTGTGAATAAATAGGTGAACATTGAGGGATCTAGGGTCGGGACCAGATATAGACATCCCAATCTATTAAACAAAGGTCATTCTACAGAAAGCTATGGGTCCGTAAGCAAATATCGTTCATGATTATCAAGAAGCCCGGGTCTACCAAATCCGAATTAATGTCTCTGTTCCTTCGCGATGCATGTCAAACACAGTGACTAAAGTATAAAAACAAATAATGACAAATTGGCGTTAATTGGGGAGCACTACCTTGCGCTAGGTTAGCCTGTGCGACTTCCGGCGATGGCGTGATCAAAGAACCTCACTTATCTTCCCAGCACTACGAGCTGAATGCAATACAGCACGTGCCGGATCGGACAAGAGTATCGGTTTGCAGGCGATATTAAACGGCAACGCGGCCAACAAGCTTAGGGGAAGTCGCTGCGCAGACTTAACCGCACCGCCAAGGGGTGTCCCTAGTTTATTTGATGGCCTAGCACAAAACAAAGCCCAAACCTCATCTCCAAAGGGAGGGAGGGAAAAATTTTACAAGAACAATATACTGAGCGCTAACCTTGCTGAATAACAGAACCCAAGTGAACTCTGAACACTTGTTCTAGGCTTTTATAGCTAGACAAACGTCTGCTGGCATAGCCAGTAGAAAAGGCTGTACTACAAGACAGCTCAGCGTTGCACGTGCGAACTCTTAGCCATGAATAGTGCATTGAAAAAGTTGTAGCAATGCTTGGCTTTGGTCACCGAAAAAAGCTAGAACTTTGTCTGTTACAGATCGCCCTGCATGGTCTCAAGACACGCTCGCTTAGCATTTGCTTTTATTCCACCCACGTTTAACTTTAAATATCTTCCTTTTTGCTCTATTTTATATGTATCACTTAGTTGCCTTATTCTTGCTTCAGGTTTTTATCTTTCTTCCAAAAGACTGAGAGGTCGTTTCTCAGTAGATCTATCGTCTCTTGGTACTTTTCAGGCCCCCTTAGTATCACCGAAATGGTACCCGATTCTGACTTCACAGTGACCGAGGATGAAACCATCTCCATCTTATGCAACGTTGAAGGAAGCCCTACACCGACCGCTGCCTGGAGCAAAAAAGGCGGTAAGCATTTGCATTTAAGAGCTTCAAACTCACGAGCACTTGTAAAGCTTCCCGTCACTAACTTGCCATTCTAAAATTTTAGGCCTACTCCCCCAGAACCGAGTTACAATTAAACACATATATGACCTGGATGCTAAGCTGTCGGGTGTTGAGCTAATAATCTATGAAGCTGTTGCTAGTGATGCAGGGACTTACGAGTGTAAAGCTACCAATCCATTCGGCACGGTTACTAAGCAAATCGAGGTTGATGTTTTGGCTGGTACACCAGGCAGCGGGGAGGAAGGTAAACATTAAATTGAAAATTTGGAGACTGTTTTTCAAACATACTCTCATGCTATTTACTTGTAGTAATAGAAGTAGTAGAGAATACGTCTTAGTGAGATAAATCCCACCTCTTGTACCTTAGGAACTTTTTTTACTTAGTTTCAGCCGTCACTCAAAGTCGACAAATATGTCATGAGATATTAGAGAGATTTAGACTCTCGTTTAGGCAGCCAACGGCAAACTTGAATTTGTGCCACGTGACCAAGTTTTTTTCCCTTTACTTGTCTTTAACTGTTTCTTACTTCTACATAAAAATAAGTACTTTCACGTTATTTTCATCCATTAAAATTATTTTAGACTCTTCTCATCTCTTTCTTTTCTTCCGTAAAATTCCGCAAATGAGCCCTGGGGCTTATATGTTTCAAAGGCCCTTTTTGAGGGGCTTGTTTTTGGAGGGGCTTATCTACGGAGGGCAATTTGCGTTTCAAAATCGATAGGGCTAGCCTTAAAGTTGGAAGTAAATTTAAAGCTTTTGCTTTGTTTTACTTTTTATTTGAGGGTAATTTTCCAAGTACAACCCCCGGGGGCTTATATTTGGAGGGGCGATTTAACGGAGGGTTTTCTGCGTTACCGGTTTGGGGGGCTTATATTTGGAGGTGCTTATACATGGAGGGGCTTATTTTCGAAATTTTACGGTATTTTGAGAATTCTAAGCTTGGGTCTGCCGTTTTCCGTTTGCCGTAAACCTGACTCTCTATTAAATCTCTCTATTAAGCAATGTCTAACAAAAACAAAAATTACATAAGTCACATTGGGGTCGTTTATTTTGACCATAGAGAATGTTACTGTTATGGTAATATTTGTTCCAAAGTATCAAAGAGTTAAACAGCAGTATGCTTCTAGTTTCTGAAAAAAGGTGCGCGTATCCCTTAAAAGTTTTTTCCCCTTAGGCAACCGCTTGCATCCACTTTTTCCGGATGTACGTCACCATTTATGCAAACTGCTTTCATCTACGATAAATCGCTTATAAGATGCAAGAAGAGAACCTAACCTAAAAAGAATAGCCTACGAGCAAGCACTCTGGGGGGCTACTTTACGCATCCCGCAGCGAGTTATACTATTTTTGCGTTCCTCATTGTTTCAGATAACTAAAGTTTGAAGAGGACAAGACAGAGGACATAATCATAAGATTGCCAGAACGCAGTGGTGCTTATTTCCTTTTCTCATTTAAGCTGTAATTGCAAAGATGATAGCAGCTTATAATAAACAAATATAAGAAAAAAAACCTTGCTGGCTGTTCTCGAGTTTTTATATATTCTCCCTCTTCACGATTTCCAAACAACTTCCTCCCGTTACCATTAAACATAGATCTTTATTGGCAGTTTAAGTAAGGAGATATTTTTATATGGCACATAGCGTCACCACAGTCCATAGCGGACATCCGTATAGAAATTACATAAATTGTCACGCACATGTATGAATTCACCCGTTAAAATTTTAAATAACTGAAGATGCGATTGGCGTCGAAGAAGTACTTGAGGACTCATGCATGACAAAGCCACAAGGCTCGAATTTCATGTTGTTACTAGTCATGGTGCTACGCGCCTGCTTCCTTAGGGTAACACCTGCCAAAAACAAAAAACAAATACTAAACTAAAAAGGTTTAACCTGTCTGGCCTTTTTTGATAACCATGCCCAAACTCCACTGCATGCTTGTGTACTTTCAGTTTTTCGTGCTTTCTTTCTTTCTTTTATTTTTTGCATACATCTAGTATCCAGTTGCACAGCGTTAGCTACTTGCCTATAGTCTTATCTCTGTTTTCTGAACCGTTGGTGGTAGCTGTCAATATACAGTACCAATAAACCTGTAATTTATCGCAATTGCTATTTGCACCAGTGACGCCACTATTATCATACATTAATGCTAAGACTATCAAGAAATCATTTCCTTCGTTTTGAAGCTCCAATTAATTGTATTGGGACAGACACACATTTAAGATGCCTCCGAAGCAGATGATGTAGCTATTATAAATAATAAACGCGTTTTGCCGCACCTAAACTCATTTTGCTCACCTTATTGGTCAGTCTGTAAAATCGGATTTTTTTGTGGCCATTTATTTATTGTTTACCCATTTATCGCTTTAGTCCAAATCTTTACATATACTACGTCCTTTTATTGAAATTCAGCAGGCAGTTGAGTTGAAAAAGTTTTAAAAATTGAAAACTCCATCAGTTAAGTTAGTACTTTAAGAAGACCAAAACATAACATCCAAGGAGGAATCGAAGTTATCTGATTTCAAGATGTATTTTCTCGTTGCGTCTATTTGCGCCTTGTCTGCGCTGCATTCTACAGACGCATTTTGCGAACGTAAGTACAAAATGCCATACTGGGTACCCAAGTCGTTAGTGCAGAGAGCTGCCGAGTCCGACATTGTCATTTATGCCAACGTTACCGAAAGTCCATGCTTGAAACCGACCTTCATCTACCAACAGACTACAGCAGCTCCGACCGTTGCTAACGCGACTAATTCATCAAGCAGTTTTCAAAAACTGAAGGCTGGTGCCGACAACCCAGAGTTAAACACGACTGATGTCTGTGTCATTGGCGGGCTGTACAATGTATCGGTTTTAGTCCACTGTGTAATCAAAGGAGGTCCTGTACCTCGAGTGGTGCATTTACGAGCTGTGGGTATTGGGCCTGGGATGTGCGCATATAGGAGCTCCATGTACTATTTCACTGAGACTGTCCACTCCTTTCATGTTTACAAAGGAAAGAATTACGTTATCTTCTTGGGACGGTAAGTTTTAATTTTCTCTGTCATTGCAGTATTCATTCTGCTTATATTCCTCTTTCGTTCATATTTACACTCTCCCTTTGTTTAAACAAGGGGGTGATCGTACGAAAGTTGACAAAGTTGGCTACCCTTTCAATGTGAAGAGTTATGTCTGCAACTATACAGTTCATTGTGCATTTAGGTTTCGGCAAAGTTTTATCGATAGATTCTTCAAACGACGAAAAGAAAGCAGTAATGCAAGGTGATTAATATGGATCATTTTGTATTTTATGCAGTGCCTTGCACGTACGAACTCTAATTTGACACTCCATATGATATAAAACTGATCCTCTCATGAGCAGACTTCTTATTTCTAAAGAATTGCGGAATTTTGAAAATTGAAGAAAGTTTTAAAAAGATAAGTTAAGAGTTGGAAAATGGTTGAAAAGCACATTTAAACAGGTACTTTATCACTTGCTTATCTTCCACCTGTTATATCATGAATTATTTAGTAAATCGGTTTTTAAGTGGTTATATTTACTTTTCAAGTCTTTCAGTTTGCAATACGTGTCGCACTTGCAGTTACTATTGAAGTTTCCGTCCTGTCACGATATTGGATGTGATTTCAGTTTGTCTGAGAATGAAATTTAAAAAAAATCATGGACCCTTTTTATTGTGACAATGTTAATGGAAACGTTGCAAAACGACTAAGGGTAGGTTTTACATGTAAAGAGATAACACTATCATCCAATTTCTCCGAACAATTGTAAAAATACAATTGTTTGATAAAGCTCACTATTCGTGATCTTTGCAAAGTCATTTCAGAAATATTTTCAGCTACAAACAGTTGTAAACGCCGCCAACCAGTTTACAATAGTCTCTCGTCTCTGAGTTGCCTTCATGGCGTCGTTTTCAATGTGGGGCAATTATATACTTTGCTCTGTACTGGAAGTGATATTTTACATGATTTAAAACTGTCAAAGGATGATCTGTAGAAGGGAATACACTTTCAAATTATTTCAAAAGGTCAAAAACTTGTAAAGAAGCCAATTAAAGTTCTAGAAAGATTTCTTCACACTTAATTAGACAAGTTGACACCCCCCTATCTCTTCAACCTTATACTATGTGTGTTTCATTCATTAAAATTCTTTTGTCACGTAGACATGAAGGAGGTAGCGATTCTGACGGATTCTGGCCACACCACGTTAACATGCAGTTCGCAGCAGTGGAGATCATAAACGAGAGGATACTTCAATCTGTATTTGCTGTGGCTGGTGGGCATGCTCATTATCCCACTGGAGTGCTGGCCAACGAAACCCACAGCATCTGTACACCCTATACTGCTGGCGCAAGAAATATTCGTCTTACCTCGGTCACTCTAGCGGTGGTGCTTTTAAGCGTGTTAATGTTAATGTGAAGAATTTCAAATCAGTGGACTTCCAATAGAAAAAAAACCCTTTACGACACACGACAAGAGAACGTGTATTAAGGGACGATTCCAAGGTAGGGGATAAAGTAGAGCATAAACACAATGTCAAACCTCCTGCTAAAGATGCTGCTAGAAAGGCGTTGTAAAATCTGATGGGCCATCACTGACCTAGTGTGCTGGTTCTCACTTAGTATTCTGACTTAAACTCCAGGATTCGCTGCAGTTTTATTTCTGACGTGCTTTTGACAACTTCACTTTGTAGCTGAACAATAAGAAAATCTTTGTGTAATAAACAAAACACAGGTATTTACTGTCGAATTGCTTTCAGAAGAATGTCCATCAGCTGGCTATGACATTAAAACCACCTTGTAAGTTCTGTGAGGAAATTCGAAAAAAAAAATAGCTTGAGAGAGCAAGGCTTGATGACTTTAATAAAGCAATTTCAATGCTACGTAGCTACAATCACCAGTTATACGGAAAGGAATCTTTCACTTCAATTCCGAGCTACCTTTTGCTGGCGCTTATTGATTCTAAGATGTCGTCCTTTCGTTCAACAATAGTTACTTTGTTAATAGATTGTGTGCGTAATACACCCTAAAACAAGACCATACAACTTCGAAAATGCAACCCATTTTAAAATAATGAGGAAGGCGATAATAATATTAATATCAATAATAATAATAATAATTAATAATAATAACAACAACATTCATAATAAAGTTTTGAATAAGAGACGCATGAACGCTACTCTTCAGTTTGTACTGAACGGTACAGGACAATGAAACCCGCTTCCAGAATTCTCCACTTGTAACCTACAAAAAAAGGTAGTAAGGAAATGTTCAACAAGAAAAAAGAAAAATAATAAACAAAAGTGCCGTGTTTTGGTTTGAATTTTTCTCCAAACGTTTCGGGCCTGGTCCTTCATCAGTGGAGTTTACAAAGTACCCTGGGGACGAGATAGGGTTTGTAATAATTATGGTTCTATTGTGATTCAACTGATAAAGCGTTAGTTGCATTTCTTGACCTTCCCATGGTACTTTGCCCTTCGCGTGTTTCCGGCTCCAGCACAAGTCTCGAAGCACCCCTTGGAGGACTGATGCTGTATCAGTTATGTGCGCATGATCTAACCTAAATCGTGCCGGGATGGGCTTGGTTGGTCGCTTCAATTTTGCCTTGACGTAGTAAGGAGAATAAAAATTGAAAACTGCATTCCTTGCTCTTCAGCAATCACTGTTAACAAAAAGCAACGAAGTCGGAGTACACATGATGTGAAGCCGTTGTAAAGGAAAGGAAATTAACGGTCGACTTTTCATAGTATGGAAAATGAGAATGAATCTTTCCCTGATCTCTATATTTGCACTGCGTTTCGGGTTGTGAAGATGGACTGTCAATATATAGTTACTGAGGAGGTGAATTGAAAGTGAATTGAGTTTAAGTTACTGAGGAGTTCTTTCTCCAAAGGACTTGATTCTTGATTAGAGTAATGCACTGAGCTTGAACCTGATACTAGCAAATAGCAAACGTGTTCTGCATTAATGATTGAAAGATATAAAAATTTCATATGGCAACACCTTAAATAGCAGGTTGTTGTTAAATCTTGGAGCCTACAGACGCATCACTCAACATTTTAAATTATTCAGCACTAAAGCAGATTCAAGCTGTAGAATTCTTACAGTTGTATATTCTCAGGAAAAAATAGAACTGATTTCTACCCATCCCTGGTGTTATTTGAAGGCCACGAAATCGAATTATTTGAAATATGTTCATGCGCAAAGAAACAGTAGTCTTAACAGCGCTGTTTGTGGCATCTTTGTTGAGTTCAAGCGAAGCAATCTGCAAACATCCCAAAGAAACCAAAACGTGGAAGCGTAAGAGTCTTATCGAGCGAGCAGTTGCGTCTGATATCGTTATATATGGCGAGGTAATATCCAGCCCTTGTTGGAAGCCTGGTTATGTCAAACCAACACCTCTACCAACAACAGCTCTGGTTCTAAGCAGCGGTGGTAACTCGTCTAATGCAACTGGCAATGCGACAGTTTCGGCTCCTCAAGTTGTAAATGTTACGATTCTTCCAACTACACCCCCGTACAACTGCAGCTCAGAATTCTATAGCGCTATCATAAAGGTGATATGCGTATTAAAGGGTGGCTCCGTACCACTTTTTGTTCAATTGGAAGGTTTTGGTCATGGCCAAGGAATCTGCTTGGATGAATCTTCTCACGATTACCATGCGTTCAACATGTTGAAGTACTTGATATTCATCGGAAGGTAAGGGGTGTTCGATAATTGTTTTTTTCATTCACTCGACTGAATTTAGTTCGCATTACCACTCCCGCTGTTTCGTGCTTTGAAACCTTGCGCTCAGAAAGGGATTTAACTCTCTGGGCTTGTTTTTGATAGAGACCATTTCTACACAGCCTCAATTGGATATAACTATAACTTTTTTTTAAATTTATTCACTTTAATTTTACGGCATCAAAATTACATGGCTGGCACCACACGAGCGACTGAGATGAAGCAATTCCTGTGTTCTGATTAGCTACCTGAGTGGGGAAAATGAGTTTTTATTCATGGCTGAATCCGCCAGCGGACTAGTCTCCTTCGCAGCAAACAATCAGCCGGCAAGATGAAGCGCATCCTGCGTGCTGATTGGCTACCTGAGCGGGTTAGATGGGCTCATCTTGCCTGCTCGTGATTTCCCGCGTTGGTTTCGCAAGAAGAAAAGTTCTCTTCAGTTGGCTATATAACAAATATTTTATTGACCAAGCTTGTTAGGTCAAGACGGCTAGATATTGGCCTCGTTCGTTTTGGCGTTTTTATTGACCTTGAATACCTCTAGGTCAATTCAAATGTAAAAAAGAACGGGGCCAATATACAGCCATCTTGACCGAACAAGCTTGGTCAATAACGCAAAAGCTCGGTATCGCCCGCTTTGTCTGTCCCAAAAGAAGATATTCTTTTGACCAAGCTTGTTTTGGCCTCGATTCTAAGTTTATATAACTTGTGTTCATGATTAGAAGCCATTAAGACAGAAATATCTTTTTAAATATTTCAGGAGTAAAAACGAAAGCAGTTCCAGGCCTTTCTTTATCAACTCGGTGAACAACCAGCCTGCTGCTACTGAGATGAGCGATGAGAGCATGCTTGAACCAATCTTCGAGACCACTGGAAAAAATGCTCACATGCCCACTGGAGTCAGCAACACAACTGCGCATGGCGTGTGCAAACCTTACGTTAAGAGCTCTGCGCATGTTTGGTCTGCACGCGAAAGCGTGTATTTACTTCTGGCAATGGCAGCTAGTTCAATCTTGACATACGGAAATTTCCATTAAAATTTAACTACAGCAGATAACGCACAGTGGCGTGTTTATCAAATAACAGATTCTCCAAATACTTTTTAAGACACTAGTTTTGTGAATTTACTACTTTGCTAAGAAGTTGTTTTCGCTAAAGGATTGAAAGGGGAGAGAATATAAAACACTGTTCCTCTGCACATATCTAACCGTCATAACCGTTCATCAGTAGTATGCCTAAAAAGAGTGCAAAAGCAAACAAAATTTACTCCGTTCAGTTAGAAAATAGGATGGACATTTCATTAAAGCGTGTTTATTACTTGTGATTCTATTTCATTCTTCAACGGTATGAGAAAACAAGTAGTTTATAATATGGCAGGCCAATTTTCAATATGCTCAAAATAGTTTTCTGTTACGTTATTAAATTACCACATACACATAGCCAAGATAGAAATCTAATACCTTCATTATTTGTTATAAATGAACATATAGTAAAAACTATAGTGTTTATGTTGCGAATGGGGTTCTCAAACGTTTTTCCCACTCAGCCCAAGTGCCACCAAATGAAATTCCCTCTTTTTTCCCCAGACTATCTCTCTCTCACGAGTCATGTGACATGGTCAAGCAAGTGGCCTTTTGCATATTCTTACAAAGAAATGAATTGGGAGATTGAGGAAGCCGGCTAGACGAGTCCTTCGTTGTCCGCATCGTAGAATCTAACCTATCTCCTTGAATTTTGAAGCCATGTCTCTTCAAAACTTCATAGTTTTAGCAAATTAAAACGGCCAAGTCTGTTCTGACTAAAGTTGACGTTCAATAGTACCGCGGTATTTCTCGCTAGGGTTACTTCACGATTCAGGCTGCAAATTGAAACTTCGCTCACGAGGTTGGTGATCAATTGCTATGTTAAAGCAGGGTGAGGACTATCAGTGACGTGCATATGTCGTGGTTTATGCGTATTTGATCAAAATGTTTATAGCTTTAGGTAAAAAGTCCCATCGATGGCAGTAAAATTAACTAGGTTTATCGTAATTACCGGTCCTGCTTTTTTAAGCTGATATTTTGTACATATACAAGCCTTATCTAACTGTCTGAAAATACAAATACAAATCGTTTGAAGTGTGCTGTATTCAAATGAAAAGCTTTTTATTTTCTTCGTATCATTCTTGAGATAAAAGAGACACCAGTTGCTTCCATACTACATTTACTATACTCGTTTTTTTCTCTAGCACTCTGTCTCTTCCCCTCACCACTTCTCCTGCCGCCCCTCTCCCCTTGTTTTCTCTTTTGACCTCGGTTCCTCTTTCGCACGGCGCATCACATACTGAAATGCCTGTCACGCATGCTACACACCTACCATTGGTCATATATTCACTGAAAAGTCACTTTATATTGCATTTCACAAAAATGAACAACTTTTTTCCCCTCTTCTTTAATCAGAAGTGAAAGTATGATATTTAATGATGAGGAAAGCCATCGTTCAATTGGTTTGCTGACAGCAGCCCATAACTAAAGATATAAAGCATAGCCAATTAATACAGCAGATTTAAAGAATCTAGAGCTCATTGAATGATAAAAAAGAGCTTAAAATCTTCTAAAATACCATGATCCAAAGACTAAGTTTAGGCAGTGGCGCTTCTCCTTTTCCTCCAGCTTCCGTTGAATAAGAAAGTTGATCCAGGGAGTAGCTACTGGACCTCGACCTGCACGCCATTACACACGTCCTCAACGAAAAAAATGTCGACAGGAAGATTAACAAAAACAAAAAATGAAGGAAAATAAATAAACAGACGGTGAATAAGCGATAGCGATCGCCTATGTACGTTATTTAGCTTTGACTGACGTCAAACAATTTCAAAACAAACTCATGCAACCCTACCTCCCCCTTCCCCAATTTTTCTGTTCGCCAATATGTGGCATCCGTAAATCCTTTCGCGTTGCCTGTAGGAAAAAAAAATAACAACAAACAAATACACAATTACGGCAGCAGCAGCAGTATACACTGTGGCCCACAAATCTGGACAGAGTAAGGCATTTGAAAATAAACATGGTCCTGACACCACAGTTAACCAAAGCTTATGCAAGACGAAATGCATAAAAAATGCTGCTGTATGGAGAGGATTCGACAGACTGGTTAGGGTGACCTAAAACTGAAAACTTTGTGTACCTCTGGAAAAATCCTAGCCACGCCACTGCGCTGTTGATCATGCAGAACCCGGGTACTTTCCTACGTATGTGAGCCAATTGTATTGGCTATTGCTCTATCGATTTGATAAAGCGTTGAATTTTGTAGATACGAGAGACAAGCCGGAATTAGCACGAGGAGCAAGGATTTAAACAGTCGGTTTCTGTGCTGAGGGTCTCGACTTTCCATTCTGTGAAGCTTTAAGTAGCTTTAAATACCCGAAAAAGGGAGCACTGATCGATAGAGAGACTGAGGTTAAAATAACCTCATCGTAGGGCTTTAGGTTTGTCAATCAACGTAAAATAAGGTAACGATAATGTAAACCCATACTGCACTATGAAAGATCTAAATTCTGGCAGGAGGGGAGACTGAAGCCGCAAAACGTCACGAGAACAAAGTTCTCGAGAAAGAGTGGACTGAGTGGACTTGACTTCAGTAAAGCTGACCAACTTTGCACGCTCAAGATTTTTTAAAAGTTAAGAAGAGAGGAAAGAAAGTAAAATATAGCGTGACTTTTTAAAATAACGTTTTAAAAAGAGGTCATGGAAACGTCAGACAAAAAGAGGGGTGCAAGATCATACAATATCATGGGTACAATAATTATACGCACGCCAAGTCAGCAATGCGTGTTATGTTAACTATTTGAAGTTTATAATTAGTTCCATTTCTTACTTAGTGGTTTTAAACACGCGATGTCCAAGTATCACAGCGGCTTATTTCTTTCAAGCTGCGAGTTTTTTGTGTATCACTTTATGGCAAATCTGTTTTGACGAGACAAGGCTAAGAATCCCGGGACTCTTTCACTGTCAGAGTCTTTAAATGCCCTCTAGAATAGTCTGAAGTCAATTGTAACTTTTAGGTTCTTGGGATAAAATTCCAAAGTCGGTTACATACTCATTACAGAAAGCTGTAAATTAGTGTTTGAAAGTGATTTTCAACAGGTCTTCGTATGTTTGGGTCCTCAGTTGACATTTAGCGGTTATACTTGGTTTTAAAGGTTAATGTATGCCTTTTATCGTTGCAATAATTTTGCTAAATTCTTTAAAAGCGGTATTGTATCGATTAAAGAATAGTTACACAAAAGCATTAATTGCCCATGAAACAAGGAATCCATTGGAACTCACTGGCGATGGAACTGATCACTTCAACGCACTTTACTTTTAAAGATGCCCGAAATCTGCATTAGTCGACGTGCAGCTCTAAAGATCTTACGATCGAATCACTTTCCTGACATTCATCATTCACGAGTTATCCAATGTAATTCATAGCGGAATTCCGTCTACCATTACGCAACGATCACCCAATCTGGCCCAATATATACAGACCGCAAACTTATCAGCAAATCTGTTAACCGTAACAGCGAGGTTTGTTCAAAACACGAAGACAGGATATGGCCTTCTGCTCTGCCGTGATGTCAAGTGCAGTTGCTAGGTTTTATCTCACCCACAGTGCTTACATTTTAAATCTCAAAGTTTATTTATTTACGCGATCAGGAATTTAACAGCAAGTGCTATTTAATACCCCTGCTAATTCTACTATAATTACATTTTCGCGTATCCATTGCCGTCTTTTTTAATTTAAGGAGTGTTGTTTAAGAATTCAGTTTAAACTTTGAGCAAGTACATTGTCCGGAATTTTGCGAAGGCCCATAATTTGCCCTCAAACTGACACTAATCCCCCTTCATAAAAATGGAATTAGCGGATTACCCTGTTTCTTTACTCTCGATTTGTACAAAAGGGTGCCATATCTTATATCTTATTACACTAGTACTGTCTGTTTATCGTCCCTTTGTTAGATTTCTCTCTCGAGTCAACATCCTTTTTGTTTCTCCGTTTGCCCAAGCGTTAGTTCCCAATTATGCGTTAATCGAGGCTTTCTAATTGCCAGTGCATTAACTCCAAGAGTATTCACATCAGCTGGTCTAATTACCCTTCCGCAAGCAGAAAATAAAGAACTCGTAGGCAAAATTGTTTTGACGAGCGCGCTTCTGAGACATTGAAGCGTTTGTATTTAAGATAACACAAAAGTGTTAAACCTTGTGTTTAACTAAACGGTTTCTTTTCTGTGAAATATACATTATTTACATGATACTTAAAGAGTTTTAAACACAGCTATTTGTAAACAATAAAACTATCAACCCCTAAGTTGGGTATCTTGGTTCAGGAATCTCAGAAAAAAAACGCTGTTTCAATACGTTCGTTTGTCGCAATAGAGAAATAAGCGATCATCGCAGGTCTTTTAAACTAGTCTGTTTTTTCCTTAATGGACTGGGGGTCCTGAGTCTATGCATGAATAAATTCGGCATGCTGTTAAACCTTTGTCATGTGGCGATATTCTCAACAGCCACACAGGAATGAACAGGGTCCATGTCGCCGTGATCACGTCAAAGAAAGACAGTTGGCTAATTTGTCTCTTCCTGCCGCAATCGGATCGACAAAAATACCGCCGGCTACCTGGATTTTCATGAGTCTTCTGATGTTATACTATTGTGTAATATAGGAACACACGTGTTAATAATACATTGTACATTTCCGTTCCGCAGTGCGTTCCGCCATTGTTTAGCTAAAAACACTCCAATTGAAGTATCGTGTTTGCACTCAGTAATGAGTTCTACTTAAAATGATGATCTTGCCCTGCTCGATTGAACCGCGTCATGGTTCATCCTTTACGAAGAAAAGTCGCTAGGGTCAGATTAACCCATACCCGCGCGCACGATCATAAACCAAACCGCACTCATCACTCTATTTGGCGACTTGTTTACCTTGCCTCGGCAAAGTCATACAAATCAAGTTTGGTGCCACTTAACAACAACCAACACCAAACCGTGAAAAATCAACACGAAACACCAACAAA